CGCACGCCCCCCGGGGAGCCCAGGTGTCCTCGCCCCCCGTGCCACCGGCCGCCGGGAGTTTGGCCGCAGTGGCTGTTGGCGTGTGCCACTCGGCAGGCTGCGCGTTCACTCGCTCGCAGCCGCTCCTGGGGCTCTGCGGCCCGGGCGGACGTGGCCGGGCCGTCCGCCTGCGGCCCCGCCCCTCCTTCGCAACTAGGGTCCCCTGGAACTTGCTGGAAGGACGTGGAAGCCTGGATGCGGAGTTGCTGCGGACGGACTTGCGTTCTTTCCCTGGCATCTGAGGACGGCTTCGGCCCACGACTTAAAGACGCCCGCAGCCGGGGCCGCACCGCTAGCGCCTATCGAAAGGCTGCAAGGTCGGGCCATCCTGACCGGTTCGCGCGCCCGCAGACGATGCCCTAAATACGGTGACACCAATGTTCCCCCCTGTGACCTGATTCGTTCTGCGGGTGTGTGCACGTCCTCTCCATTAGGAGGGACACTGAGCTTTCGCCTCCGATTCAGACTGCGTGGATCTGAGTGCTAGCTGGGTGACTCGGTCATGCCAAATGTCATTTCCCACCGGAGCCTAGACATGCTACCGACCTCCTGGGAAATGGAGGAACACGAATGAGCTGATCCATGAAAGGGACTTGGCACAGCTGTCGTCAGTAGTAAGCACACAATGCAGGATTACTAGGTTTACTCTCAAAATGAGGAGCCAGGACAAACAGGTTATGTTGAATTTTTCCTGTAAGTTACAAAGAAAGCTTATGAGTGTTTTGGGCTCATGTTTAAGACATGCCTTAGGCCTTTTCTCAGACACATGACCCCTTTGACTCCCGGAAGTGACAACTGTAGTCTTGCAGCCCCCACCGTGAGAGGCCAACGGACTTCGCCACCAACTTTATTGCTTTTTATTACTAGCATAATTGGGCACGTTTACTTGACATTGGCTAAAACAAAAGGACATTTTAACAAGATGATAACACTGAGTAATTCCTGAGGCTTACAGAAGGGTGCAGCAGGTGCACTCAAAACTCAGGCAACCTAAATTAGAACTTGCTTTTAAAAGAGACCGGCGGGGCGCCTGTGTGGTTCAGTGGGTTAAGCCCCTGCCTTTGCCCCAGGTCATGAGGTCAGGGTCCTGGGATCGAGCCCCGCATCAGGCTCCCTGCTCAGTGGGGAGCCTGCTTCCCTTCCTCTCTGCCTACTTGTGATCCCAGTCTGTCAAATAAATAAAATCTTTTTTAAAAATGCTGTTATAATGTTTTTTAAAAAATAGACTTGCTTTCAGATTTGTTGATGGGAGATACAAATTTTCTTCTCACTGCGAGACCCTAAAATGTAAGATGAGAACACAGGTCTCAAACGTTACACTTTACCCCGTCAGAGGATGGAGCACTGGGCTTCCAGGAGCGTACTCGCTGAGATGAGCGCTGGGTGACGTACGGAAGTGTGGGATCCTATACTGGACACCTGACGCTAACAGCACACTGTATGCTGACGGACTGGAATTTAAACAAAAACTTCTCTAAAAAGGTCCAATTTAATTTGCTCCAGAGTCATCTAGGTCCCTGTAACATCCCTCTCAGTTCTTCCTACACTGAATTTTGATGGCACTTTGTAGTCACACATAAAATAGGAATGTCCCGTTCATGATCTCCAAGAATAACAAGGATCAAGGGTATCAGCTGGATCACACAGGAGGAATATATCCCCTCACCTGGTTTGGAAAGTAATAGGAACAAGTTACGCTGTTACAAGAGCCAGTTCGTTTCTGGAGGAAGCAGAGGACATGAAAGGGCAACCCTTTCACTGCTGTTGGCTCCCTCACTGTAACCGACGTGCAGCTACCTTGTTCTTGGACGTGAGAGGTGGCCGTTGCCTAGCCCCTGGAGGCAAAGGGGTTGGGACTCTGCAGGCCTGAGCTGGCCTTTGGCTGGAGCAGCTCCTGCAAACCGAGGGTGTGATGTGGCCAGTCTCGTCTGGCCCAGGTCCTGAGACAGGCTCTGCACTCAAACATGTTTTCAGATAACAAATGAAGACGGAGTCAGGTAGTGTGGGTCAGGTGTTTGGGTTTTTTTTTTTTTAAATTAATTTATTAGAGAAAGTGTGCACATGTGAGCGGAGGGAGGGGGGAGGGAGAGAATGTACAGCAGACTCCCTGCTGAGCATGGAACCTGACACAGGGCTCGATCAGAGACCCCGACCGAGACCGTGACCTAAGCCGCGATCAAAAGTTGGAAGCTTAACCACCCCACTGCCCCTATCAGTTTCTTTCTGACATGCTGTTTTGGTGTTGGCCTTGGGCCAGCAGGATGAATGCTGTGCAGCCTATGGGGCGGGTGTGTGTATAGTCTCTAAGCTCGTAGTCTGAGCGGTTTCATCATCTTAGATCCACACCTTAGATCCACAGCATACAGATTCTGTCTGCTTTTAGGATATACGAAAATACCTAATATATGAGGAGAAGATCCTCAATCTGTGCTTTCTGTATAGGATTTTAGCCTACAGGCAAACCAGAAGCTGAGCACCCCATCTACTCCCTACCAGGCTTGTTACTGGAGTTTCAAAGCCCACTCAGACGCAAGTTCAATACCTTCAGTTCCTGTACAAATGGTGTAGGAGAAGAACACTGGCGTATTCCTACTCATTCTACACAAAGCTAAGTCTTTGGTTTCCAAGTTTAAAAACCTTCAATCTGTAATCTTTGAGAAGGAGATTAGTTTGGGCAGCCTCTGGCTAAATGGAGGGAGGAAAAAAAAAAAAAAGGCAAACCCATTCAGAGAAAAGCTGTCAGGAAGCAGCAGGGCTCAGGCACCGTGGAGAACGGATGTTGAGGAAAGCACACACGGACATGCACACTAAGAACTGACAAAGACCTCGAGTACATGATTGCTAAGTTTAATTCAACGGTTATACCCAATCCTGCCTTGTAAAAACAACAAAATGCCCCTATCAAAACTATATTGTGATGTGAGTACAGGCTTGTTTTTGATATAGCTCTAGAAAAAAGTTGGCACCAAATGCACATAAAAAAAGTTTTAAGACTTAATAAAAATACAGACTAATAATTTCAAAATGCAGCTTAGAGGTTGAGAACAGAATGCTAGGTTAATAAATTTCCAAACACAGGCAGTCCCCGACGTATAGAGCATTTCCCAAATATAAATGGCCACTTCCATCAGGCTCACCGGGGCAGAAAGTCCTCTCCCGCTTCTCTCAATGACCAGACTACCAGGCACTCCAAACCCAGTTCTGCAGCCCCAGGGAGGGAAGGCCGGGGAGAGAAGGGAGGGCATCTCTGCACACTGTGTAGAGGCTTCTGCTACAGTCGTTCTCTGCCTCCATCCCCACCACTGCTCCCTATCCGCACCCGCGACCCCTGCTGGTGGACAGGACTAGGTGGACAGCGAGGACAGGGCCGCAGCCACAGGGCCTGGCAGTACGATGTCAGAGTTCCTTGCAAGCCAATTTGGCATCCAGAGATCATCTTGCGTATTCAAAACCACAAAAAACACAGTCATAAATGGTAGTTCATTTCTATCGTGAGAATGTTGCATTGTTAAGCAAAAGTTAGTGTGTTTGGGCTTAAACCCTAACTACCATTTATGAGATTTCCTAATGGGGGAAAAATGCTCTGAATTCCAAACTTTCCTCTAAGTGGCCATTTGAAGGGTGGAGACAGGAAGTACTTGAGTCACATGGAAAGTTTCTAGCCTCCCGAGTGAACAGGGCAGTTGGAAGGGGGTAAACAAAGGGTCTTTGGTTGACAAAGCCACGTGCAGGTCCCCCAGCGTGCCCGCTGTAAGAGGCGGAGCGCGGCAGGGCGCTCCCGCAGGCACTTAAGTGTCCAGGCCACGGTGGGCGCGTGGAAACACAGCGGTGTGGCTTTTCTCCGTTTCCATCATGGTGCAGTATTTTCAGCACCCGGGGTTAGCTTGGGAGGCACTCACACCAGGACGTGCCCCCACCCAAAGCCTGTCCTCTTGTTAACTGTTGGTCCGACACGATGAGGTGTGGGACTGAGACTGCTGCCCTGTCGGGTCCAACGGGGAGAAACTTTGCTGCTGGGACCGAGACACTCTGGCCAGCCTGTTCTCTGCCAACAAGCATCATGGAATCGGCCCACTGAGCCTTCAATGCCAAACTGGTCAATTTTCTGGAGCAAGGTCTCCGGGCTCCTTCTGGAAACTGAATATGGTCCAGAGGTTCCACAAAGCTTTATAAAGAGCAGGCAAGCAAAGTTTCTTCCTCTTGGTTGTACCTGAGCCAACTGCCTTTTTCCTAGAAAGGTGTCAGAGACAGGGCAGAGTCCGCGGCCACTTGCGTAAAGCTGGGGTTTTAGAAAAGCTCTTCAGATATTTTTAAGGATTCGAACTGAAGAACCCAAGGTTCTGAAGCGCCTCTTCTTCCCACCGTCAAGAGGAGGGACGACACACGAAGGGTCTCAGTCACCCCATCGCCTGGATGCATGAGGACAGTTCGACAGATTGGGGGGGTGCCACGGGGAGAACTGCGGCTCGACGAGGGAGCCGGCTGCAGCCCCGGGCCTCGAGGGAGGCCGCCGAGGAGAAGCGGGAACAACTCACAGCGAAACCAGCCTGGGTGTAAAAGGCAGAGGTTCCTACGTAAGATCTGGCCAAGGTTTTAGAAGGCAGAAATGAAGCACCTCAGAGATCAGAGCACAAAATCCTACCGTGAAGCATGAGACGGAGAGCGACTTTTTGGTTTTTGCTGACAGCTGCCAAGGTCCAGCGGCCGAGGCGGCTCAGGCAGCTGCCGAGCAACACACGGGCTGACCCCGCAGAGGCTGTCCCGGGGACGGAAGCTGTCGCGCAGTGAACGGGGTGAGGACCCGAGGGGCCAGAGAGCCCCGACCCCCAGCCGTAGTGTTTCGGCCTGTGCCTTGCTCCTCCGTCCTACAGCAACACACAGGTCGTTTCTTATTTTCCTGCCAAGGCTTTAAACGGAAACTGCTACTGTATTAGTGACCCCCGGGCCCCTGTCGGCCAGCCCACCCCACCAGGCCTCCCGTGGCCTCGCACCACCTGCCGCACGCCCCTCGCAGAGCACCGTCCCATCTGCAGTTCCAAGTGAGTCCTGTGTTATCCCCACCAGGCCAGGTCTTGGCAGCCCGTGGGTGAGGTCCGCCGGCTCCGCGAGCAGTGTCTTCAGGGGCACAGCAGCCCCTCTCCCCACTCGGCTCCTTTGGGCTAAAAGAAACTACAGTATTTGAAATCCTATCTCTCGGGGTCCTCGTCTGGCTACAGGTGAAGCAGCAGCCCCTCTTAGTAGAAGGAGATACTGGATTTGCCTCCAGGCGGGTTGAGGACTTTGTTGTGAGAACGTGGCCGCGGGCCCAACCTGGGCTCATGGCTGTCACCCGTGGGCATGGGCACCGGCTGTGGGGCGCGGCCCGCTTCTCCAGGGCCTCCCTTCTCACCCGCCTCTTCTCTGGGCGACGTGCTTGTTGCGGCTGCGGGACAAAGTCGGCATGCCATCCCGTTACAGGCCGCCCAGGACCAAACCGGCAAGCTGCGTGTGCAGTGTGTGGCCCAGAGCAGCCAGCAACAAGGCCGCACCGTGATGGGAAAAGAGGAGCGCACAGAGCCAGGCTTCCACCTCGTCCCAAGGAGACTGACTGGCAGAGACCGTTCCTGAACTGGGGACAACGCTGGGGCTTCATACTAAAAATTCCTTGATAAATTCCTAATAAACCGATTATCCTACACAGCTGAGGGACCCCACTCCTTTTTCTTCCACCTCAAGAATCAGTAACAAACCTTCTCAACTTGAACATGACAAGGAAGAGATGGAGCTCATCTCAACTAGGGACTTAACAAGGCGAGACAAGGCTTGCGGACACTCCCCGGACTTCTGGATGAACGAGCGTCTTGGTTAGGGATCGAGGGAGTGGTGACCCGCAGCACAGCCAGCTAGGACAGCGAGGTGGGGTTCAGAGTCTGACCACACCCCACCCCACGCCCCAGGGGCAGCTCTCCCGGTCTCTCTTCTCACCCGGCACCTCTACTGCTCTCCTCTGCCCCCCACTTCTGCATCCGTGCTGCCTGGGCTACCGCTGGCCACAAATTCATTCATGGCTCCAGATCCCTGCCCTTCACTACCTGAGATCAGCTTCTAGAAGGGGTCCCCCCGGTCGTGGCCTGGGCTGATCACCAATGCCAAGTGAAGAAAGGCTGGTGGTGACCAGTTGGGAAGTCTTCACCCAAAATAACAGCCTACTTCTCTGGTCTTCTTCAAATACTACATATCCTCTTGGCAACAAACAGGACCTTGCTTTTTCTGTCAGCAGGCCCGGGAGAGGCACGGAATAGTCCCGCTCATCCTCTGGGGGCGTGGCGGCAACCCTCCCACAGCACAGCGCTCGGGGGAAGGCACAGAAAACAGGAGCTCACCTTTAGGGCCCGATCTGGGGTCTTCTCCTTCACATAAGAACACGTGGTCCTGTAATGAGGCAAAACCCCAGGTCAGTAGGTGAGTCACATGTTTTACCCTCCTTCAAAAGGATGATGAAACTCAGGGCACAAATGGGCTTGTGTACATCTATGGTGGAGTTTCACCCACGAGCGAAGCGGAGGGAGCAGTGCCACGAGGCCCCCGCAGCCCGCCCCAGCAGCAGTGACGAGAGCTCACCGCCATCCAGACCTCAGCCACACACTTCCCACCACAGTCCCTCCGCCCCTTGGGCGGTCTGTAAAGCAAATCTCAGTATTTTGATTACCCACAAATATCCGATTTAAAAATGTCCTTTAGGGGTCCCTGGGGGCCGGGGGTGGCTTAGACAGTTACGTGTCCAACTCTTGATTTTGGCTCAGATCATGTTCCCAGCACTACACTGTGTGGACTGGAACTTTACAGTGAGTTCTGAGACTGGGAAGTGAGTTTTCCGACTCTGTTATTCACTGTTAACATGTCTGGCTAGTCACGATTCCCTGAGGATTTTAGGACAGTCTTTCCACTTAAAAAAAAAAAGTATAAAACCAAAACAAACGAAACACTACGGTAGGCACTTTGATAGGGACCGTACTCTTCCCCCCACTTTTTTAGGGGGGGCGGGGAGGGAGGAGCAGACAGAGGATCCCACGCAGACCCCCTGCTGAGCGCAGAGCCTGATGCGGGGCTCGATCTCACAAACCTGAGATCATGGCCCGCGCCAAAACCAAGAGCTAGACGCCCAACTGCGCGGCCCAGGCTCTGACGGGGACGGGATCATTTAAACCGCTCAGTCGCCAGGACTGCTGACTGCCCTCTAGTGACAGCTGTGTGCAGTCCTCCACTGCCTGTGGCCCGGCCGACCCCGTGGCGTCCGTCACGCGACGGCTGGTCTGACGGGGACCTGACCTTCTGACCAGAGTTTGACGGTGGGCTGTGATGTTGTGTAAGGGCCTGCATTTCTGGCTGTCTCTTGCGACGGCAGCCACGGACGCTCATTGCTGAGCTCCAGGATTTTATGGCGCGTCAGCACAACGGCGGCATCGGCATTCCGTTACTCCGTTGCTGGCTGAGCAGCCCCAGAACAGGAAAACTCCCTCAGCAGCAGCCCCCCGGGGTGCGAGTCCTGCAGAGACGCTGTCCTCTGCTCCAAGCCACAAATCAGACTTTCAGAAGTATCATCACGAACCCCAGAACCCTCACTACCGGTTGAATTTTAGCCCAATGCGATTACCGTACTTACTGATGACGACTAAAAACACGGAGATTTTAGATGCTCAATTCTATGAAGAGCCACACGGCCCTTGCGGCAGAGGAGGACAGCAGCCCGTCGGCAGGGGGCAGCGTCCCCGGGCTTCATTCACCGCGACACCGGAGCGGGTCTCTGCGCCGACTCAGGGGAGCCGAGAAAGCCCACGACTAGGGACCGCGCTTGGCAGAACCACGCCACCCACTCCGCCTCTCCCTGGCAACGCACTGCAGCCGCCTCACAGCCGCACGGAGTCCTTGGTTCCGCTTTTGTCTCTCTCACTTCCACGTCTGCTGTCTGAATGTAGCCCCTACCTTGGGTTTGTTTGGGTGTGCCAGAGGAGAAGCGGCAGCAACTGGGGACCCAAAAATGTCACTGGTCTTCCCGCCAGGTGGGTTCAGACGCTGTCGAGTGTGCACAGGCGTGGATTCATCAAAGATGCCGCTTCCCTTCCCCCCTGCAGAAACAGTTCCGTGACAGTGAGCACCCACGACAGCCCCCCGGTGCCACCCGCCGCCTTCATTACTTCAGAGACTCCCCTTGCAGGGACGCCCCAGTGCCAGTCCCTAGTTCGGGCCCACAGCGGGGGTGACCAGGTTGGCGAGCCGTACGTCAACATCAACCCGTTTACCGGGGCCCTGCTGGGACCGTCACTTCTGGAAGCTGACCTCGGCGGGCCTCTAGCATTTCCCACTTGGGACCTCCTGAACCTTGAACTTGTGTTGTCCTGTTAAAGGATCTTCTTCTTTAAACCCAAGGAAAGTTCTTTATGTTAAAAGCAAAGAGCTGTTGCATTTTTAGACCGAATACGTAAGAAATGAACTCAACAACATGTCATATTCAAGGCAAACCTGTCATCTGGAAAATAACACCTATTAGTCATTCTGCTGACCTCATTCTGGCCACAACCACCCGTGGCAACTAGACAGGTCAGCAAATTACAGACACGTGACATCCTACAACGCAACTCTAAGTGATCTGATGAGCCATAATGGAAATAAGCATCGAGCATGTAACTTGTCATAAGCTGATGAGTCTGGCCAGACAGCAAAGTCGACGCCCAAACGCCTCCGTTAAGCAGAAGGACGGCCACCACACACCCCGGCTGGCGTCTCTTCACTCGGCAACCGCCAGCACCTTTCTGCGGAGAGCTGTGCTAACGGAGGTGGGCCGCCGGTCGTGGCCCTGGGCTCCAAGGACTTACGGTCTCTCAAGGAGAAAGAAGGAGCCTTCCGCTAACTAGCTAGCGAGGTGACCACACATATCAGAGGCTCAGCTGCAGAAAGGGCAGAACGAAAGGACCTGAGAGGCAGGTCCGGAGCTCATGCATCAGACGGTCAGAACGATGCCAGGGTCACAAACGCTCGACAGGGGTTCGCGGCATCCCCCATGTACTGATAAAGAAGCGTCTCCTGGACGTACACACCGCTCAGGGCAGAAGGGCAGAAGACAGTCCGTACGGTGAGCAACGTTTCAATGAAAATGGAGGGGTTTTCTCACTTCGGGGCATCCGAGTAGGAAAGCGGTCACTCCACTGCCCCTCCCCGAATGTGGCTCCCTGCGGACGGGCTGCAGGACTCGAGACTGCTTGGCATGTCCTTTCTCAGAGCTTTGTTTTCGAGGGCCCACGTCACAGGCAGTCACGTCCTGGCTGAAACAGCCCACGCGGCGAACGAGAGACAGAGCCCGCAGGAACCCGGACGCCTCGCTCCCTGCGGGCCCGCCGGGAAGGGCTCCATCAGGGGTTCGTGCTCTCGCCCGCCCACAGAGCCATCCCGAGGGTCCCCGCAGCCAGAGTGGACAGTAAAACAGAGAGGCCTCTGGGACGTGGCCACACGGGGACATGGAGCACAAGCCCAGCGAGGGCTGGAGCAGAGCAAGGGAAGAGCCCTTCCGGGGCAGGAGAACTGGTCAAGAAGGTGCGGGGCTACTTGTGCAGGGGACAGACGTGCACTCATGTCATCTTCGCGCCCACACACCTCACCTTCCAGGACCCACAGGCCCGGGCCGGAGATGCCCACACAGCACAGTGCCGGGCCGCCCGCTGGAGCCCGGACAAGGGGCTCGAACCGTCTTGCCTCCATCTATCAACACTGAGGAGGTCGTAAGTTAACAAGAGCACCGACCCTCGGGCCACTGGTGACATAAGCAAGCGAACGCACGTGAAGCAGGCAGAGCGGTTCCTGGCAGGGTCAGCCCTCAGGGATGCTGCCGGGCTGCCGACAGCAAGAGCATCTCCACCAGCAAGGGGGCAGAACTCCGGCTTCAGCTCACCCCAGACACCGCTGCTTCTGGTTGTGCTACAAAGGCTTAAGTACATTCTCTTTAAAAGGTGCATTCAGGGGATGCCTGGGTGGCTCAGTTGGTTAAGCAGCTGCCTTCGGCTCAGGTCATGATCCCAGCGTCCTGGGATCGAGTCCCACATCGGGCTCCTTGCTCGGCGGGGAGCCTGCTTCTCCCTCTGCCTCTGCCTGCCATTCTGTCTGCCTGTGCTCATTCTCTCTCCCTCTTTCTCTGACAAATAAATAAAATCTTTAAAAGAAAAAAAAAAAAGGTGCATTCAGTTTTTTAAAAAGTGGAAAATAAAAGTAACTCAATTTGAAGTTTTTGGCTAAAGACACTGCTCATCAAAAGAATTTATTATTTTTTTTTTTTAGATTTTATTTATTTATTTGACAGAGAGAGAGAGATCACAAGTAGGCAGAGAGGCAGGCAGAGAGAGAGACAGGGAAGCAGGCTCCCCACCGAGCAGAGAGCCCGATGTGGGGCTCGATCCCAGGACCCTGAGATCACGACCTGAGCCGAAGGCAGAGGCTTTAACCCACTGAGCCACCCAGCCGCCCCCCCAAAATTATTTTTAAATTATAGAACATAACCCAAAAGTTCCTAAGACTTAATAGCCACAGATAACAGAGAAGCCAAGGGCCCCAGTAACCAGCACCTGGAGCGCACAGAGCACGATGGGCTCTCAGAACCCTGGGCGTCCTCCCCACCCCAGGTCACCAGACGCCCGCGCTTCCTGCAGACCACAGACCTGTTATCGTTGGTACATTTTTACTATGTATGTTCAACTCCAAACAATGCAGTTCTGCTTCTGTACGTTATATAAAGGACCCTGCATGTCTGCTAGTCGACATTTTGCCTGGAAGATGAACTCAGGTTTGGAGAAGGAAAAGGTGCTGAATTTAGTCATAAATAAATTCAAGATAGGCTTTTAAAAAAAAATTATTCCTAGAGGGAGACAGTGACAGAGAGAGAGAGAGAGAGAGAGAGAGAGAGAGCAGGAGGTGCCCCTCTCAGCTTGCTGACTGGCTGGAGGGCCGCGGCGTGAACCCTGCCGACATTGAGTCCCTGCAGCGGGAGATCCAGACGGACTCCCCGATGCCGCTGGCTGACTTGCCGGACCTCCAGGAGCCCCGAGGCCCACAGCCTGGGCCTTGCTGCCAGGGGTGGACCCCGCGACAAGACTCACAGGAACGTTTCCGAGGGCTGGAGCCCTGGGCCCGAAGTGGAAGCTCAGCTTCGATGATCCCGCAGGTTCATCTCAGACACACTGTGCAGCCTTAAGCAGCCGCCTGAGCCACCGCCAAGCCATGGCAGGATCAGGAAACCTCTACTCCCTGAGCGATCCTTTTCAGTATTGTATTATTATTAGTATCGCTACTAATATTACGACGTGATCTTTTTGCCATCAAAACGAGGCCTGTGAAATATAAGATTCCCTTTAGTGCCTTTAAAAAAAAAAAAAAAAAGCCAGGCAGAAAGTCACCCTGACACCACGCCGAGTGCAGAGCCCAACGACCTGAGCCGAAATCAAGGGTCAGACGTTTGACTGACTGAGCCCCCCAGGCGCCCCCTAAGATATGCTTTTATAAGAACCAAACTGCAGAAAACAGACACCATGCTGGCAGAGTGGGCGGCGAGCATCGCACACACGGTGGGGCGCGCCAGGCCCCTCTCGTGACCGGTAGGAAGCGTCTATCAGGATTTTAAACTGACCCAGCAATTCCACTTCAAGAAACTTACCCAGAGGATTTTTCAGATTAAGTTTAGAGCATGAGCTCTGGGAACAAAAGGCCACTGGTGCCATGGGCTAGGAGTGAGCTCCGGGGGTGGCAGTGACCCTCCCCAAGCCTCTGTTTCCCTCTCTGTCCAGGGCCGCCCCCACACCTACCTCCTAGGGGTGGAGAGGCAGCCAAACGAAAACACGGAAAAGCACTGAGCACAGTCCCTGGCAAATGCGGAACTGTCCACACGTCTCCTGCACCAGAGTTAGAGCAGCCAGAACAAGCTGGAAGACGTGAGCCAGGCACCAGCAGAGCCCGCTCAAGAAGGGTAAAGAAACAATGGGGGGCGCCTGGGTGGCTCGGTGGGTTAAACCCTCCGCCTTCGGCCAAGTCATGATCCCAGGGTCCTGGGATCGAGCCCCGCATCGGGTTTTCCGCTCAGCGGGGAGCCTGCTTCCCTTCCGCTCCCTGCCTGCCACTGCCTACTCATGACCTCTGTCAAATAAATAATAAGAATTAAGAAAAAAAAAAAAGAGAGAGAGAGAGAGACACTGAGCGTGACAACCCTTGGCGAATGCTCAGTGAGGATCACGGGCTCAGTCACTCCCATCACTCCCCAGCCTCGCCCCCCCACCCCCATCCTGGACCCGTTTCTCAATCAGGCCCTCTCATCAGAGGGCAGGGGGCACACTGGGAGCTTTCCCTTTCAGCCTTCCCTTGAGAATTCATCACAGACTGTTTGCCAAGAGCACTTGCCAGGACAGAAAACAAACCCCAAAGACAAAATAGCCGCAGAAGCAGGAACCTGGCACAGGGAGTGAGTCCAGCGGCCGTCGCCGCATCTTGTGACTGTGCACCACACAGAGGCTCTCTATGTCTCCGCTCAAGAGGGGCCCAGGCTGCCGTCAGGAGAACTGGAGGCCGAGGGTCCGCAGAGCGGCAGTGCCCCAAGCTGCCACGCTCTCCAGGGAACCCGACCCCCCCAGGGGCAGCTCTGGACACACAGCCGGCAGCCAGCTGGTACGGAGCTGACACATGGTGGCTGTCCTGATGTCATCGATACAAAGGGTGTGTGGGGCTGACCGCGCCGGCCCCACACCTGTAAGCTGGACGCTACAAGGGTGTTCCTCACTTTTAAGAACCACCTGCTTCTACTGTATCCCAAACTTTAACCCTCCACCCACCCCAACAACCAAACCCCAAACTAGCTTTTGAACCTACTGCTTTTGCTGCCCTGGGTTAGGTCCCTGGCACAGGGCAGGACCCTCGCGAGCTTCAGCTCTGCGGGACCGACCTGCCGGAAATACAAAGTCCTGTGTCGGGCCTCTCACGACCTTGTTTTCCCTTGGGGACACAGGGCAGGGAGAGCTCCTCGGCCAACTATCCCCATACGGTCGGTCACTCAACTGGGGAGCCTACCGGCCAGGAAAAAGACTTTTCTAGGATTCTTTCCCACTGTGACTACTGAAAAGGGGGACCGGCACTGAAGAACCATGTGGACGGGGTCATCCTTTATAGAGCTCTGATCCCAGTGACGATCTGAATCAGAGGAACCTCTCTCTGAAGAACATTTAAAAGCACAACTTGCACACAATTTCTGGCACTGCAAGGACCCACTGGAGAACTGGGAAGGCCTACCTGGTGGGAGCCAGAATCCCAGCATCCGCCCCTGTGACCTCAGTGCCTGGACTCAGCCACGGTCTGGTGGCAGAGGGAAGAGGATTCAAGAATGACTGAGCCGGGGCGCCTGGGGGCTCAGAGGGTTAAGCCTCTGCCTTCAGCTCAGGTCACGGTCTCAGGATCCTGGGATAGAGTCCTGCATCGGGCTCTCTGCTCAGCGGGGAGCCTGCTCCCCTCCCCCCACCTACTTGTGATCTCTGTCAAATAAATAAATAAAATCTTTAAAAAAATAAAAATAAAAATGACTGAGCTGGGAACGCCTGTGGGACTCAGCCAGTGAAGCCGCTGCCTTGGGCTCAGGTCATGATCTCAGGGTCCTGGGATCGAGTCCTGTGTGGGGCTCCACACTCAGCCAGGAGTCTGCTTCTCTCTCTCCCTCTGCCGCTCCTCCTAATTGTGCACACTCTAATAAATGAAATTTTAAAACACGTGGGACACCTGGGTGTCAGTGGGTTAAAGCCTCTGCCTTCAGCTTGGGTCATGATCCCGGGATCCTGGGATCCAGCACCACATCTGGCTCTCTGCTCGGCAGGGAGCCCGCTTCCTCCTCTCTCTCTCTGCCTGCCTCTCTGCCTGCTTGTGATCTCTGCCAAATAAATAAATAAAATCTTTAAAAATATATATAAAAAACAAACAAGAAAATAAACAAAACAAAACCGTCCTTACGTTCTAGAACTCTGACAGCAAGGGATAACCTGTACCAGAAAACATTTGAGAGGGCTGACACGAAGAAATAAAAAAATGTTATCAGAAGAACAGCAGAAAGCAGAACAGGCAGAGGCCAAAGGACTGGTGATTCACAAAGGCCCATACCTGGAGGGTTGGTCCTTTTAGGGATGTTCTGAGGCTCTTCGGTTGGTCCAAAAATATTCGATGCCATCCTATTGGGCCTGCTGGAAGGAGCAGCTTCTTCTGGACTTCCAAAAAGATTGCTGGCCTCTCCTCCCGGGGGCTTCATGGCCCTAAGAACAGAGAGCACCCGAGACTCACGGATCGCCCTGATTCAGTGTGCATCCGTCTGACCTGGTCCCCTCTGTCCTGTGCCCTGGCCTCACCCATCTGCACGGCCCCTGAGCACCTGTCGCCGGAAGCTGGTGCCAGACCCCATGCACGAAGGGTGGGTGACAGCAGGTTGTGTGCCTGAAGCAGCTTTATTTGCCGGGAAAGCCAGCGCCACAGGTGCACGGGGCTCTAGCGCTCCCATCAGTGATGCCACTAGCCCTGGGTCTTAGTGGAACCCCTAAGACCCCTGTGGAGAAACAAAGCCCATATTGAGTCTGGGGTCTCTGTCCGGGAAAGACAGCCTCACGGCAAAGCACGTAGCTAGAGTTGTTTGAAATGACCAAATGGTTAAGTTTGGGTGGCGGAAATGCAGTATTTATTACATTATTCTGTGTACTTTTGCTTTACTGTACTTTGAAAACAAGGGAAGAAAGCAGCACAGTGGCCCAGCTACCCAGGAAGGGACAGCGGCAACACGATGGGCGGTAGCGTCCCCCCACCTTGCGGGGGTCATCAGATCCCACAGGCTGCCCCAACAGGGTCTCGAATAAGGGGACTGAGAATGAAGAGGTTATTCTGATAAAAACAACCCACGATGGCTCAGTGTGGCCTTCGCCAGGCTCCCCATCAAGGGCACTTACCCCCAGGACACAAATTACAGAGGGAAGGTGGGAACACCAGAGAGCTCCGAACTGACAGCGAGGGGACGCGCCCAGTACAGCCACCTTGTCCTCTCGTGTACCCGCCAGTGCTCTAGTAGACGGTGAAGTGCACAAGCAGAGCCGGAGGGCTCGGGACAAAGAGCCACAGAGACAGCTCGAGGGGACGATGGCACCAGCAGCGGCAGGGAGACAAGAGCCACTCTCGCCTCCAGGTCCAGAGCCTCCCCCCGAGAGCTGGTGTCTGTGTTTCAGGAAAGACTCTGGGGGATGGGTCAGACTTGGAGAGAAGCCGTAATGGAGAGAGACCCGGATAAATTCTTTAGCGGCGCGGTCTGCGGCGCAACGGGGCCGCCTCCCGCTGGGGACGGCCGGGGCACCCCAAGTGGACGGATAACCCCTCGGCAAGAAAACAGAAGACGCAGGGCCCGGCGGTCTTCAGCCCCCACCTGACTCCCGCCCTCCACGGCCCAGCAAGATCGGAGGCCCCGGAGGCCTGTCCCGCTCCTCAGGGCCCTTAAGACGGCTGCGGAGGCGCAAACCGTCCGGCTGATCCCAAGCGGAGGCCCCGGCTTCGTGCAATCGCCCAACCGGGAAGAACGCTCTTCCTCCGCCTCCTGAAAGGAAAAATCCTCTCCTTCTCCTGAGAGCGTCTCCGGCACGAGAGCCCGCGGAGACGTGTGGCGCACCCCCGCCCCCCAGCAACCGCCCCGCGGGTCCAGGGGGTTGAATCAGGAACCGCCACGTTCGCGGGGCCTCCGGGGCCAGGCTGCGGAACAAACGGGCTGAACCCAGGAGAGCTGGGACCCGGCGTCCGAGCGCCGCAGCACCAGGATCCGGGCGCCCTGGGGCCCTGCGGGGTAAACCTGTGCTCCCACCGCTGCACGCGGAGACGTGGCTGACTGCGAGTGACCGTTCCGTGGTCGGACGACTGATGACTGACCACTGACCCAGCTGCCCAGACTTACAGGGTTTTCGGCAAGTTCTTTCCCCTGTTACCTACCGGATGTGGAATTTACCTCAACAGCTGTCGCATACGCGCTCTCTCCTACCGTTAGGGCAAGGCTGGGGCACAGAGACGGTCCCACAGTAATGAAAGCTCATGGGCGTCTACAACCCCCGAACCTGACAAGGCGAGGGGGGGGCCACTAGGGGAGCGCGGCGCCCGGCCCGGGGGGCCCCGGGACAGAGCCCAGGACGCTGACCCCCACCCCGCGGCCCCGTCCCCCGCGCCCCGGCGCTAGCACGGCTACCGGAGGGCGCGGCCCCGCCCACCCCCTTGGTCCCGGGCTCCCGGCGGCGGCCCCGCACACCGTTCGGCCAGCGTCTCCGGCTGAGGACACGAGAGGAACGTGGGCCCAGGCGGAGCAGCGCGGGCGGCGCGCCTCGGGCCTCCAGCCCACAGCCTGCGGGGCACGGGAGAGCGTCCGGACCGAGCGCCCGCCTCTCGGAGCGGGACGCGGGGACCGCGGCTCTGTGAGGTCACCCGGCACCCGCGCCCGCCACGCACCTGGAGCCGGCCCGGGCGCCCTCGCCCTCCGGGGCCTGAAACATGTCGCCCGTGGTGCGGCACCTCCTTGACCGCCGCACCGCGGTTCCCGCCCAGCCCTACGCAGCGCGCGGACCGCCCACCCGCGCCTATTGGACGCCGTCGACGCCAGTCACGCCGCCGCCGCTTATCACGCCGCCGGGCCGCACCCCCGCCCACCTGGACGGAAGCCCCGCGAGGCTCGCGCCGCGCTCGCAGCCGATTGGTGAGAGCAGATGCCGCTCAGGCCTCGGGCGCTGACATTGGGCAGCAGGGCTGCGGGATGGGCCCTGACCCCCCTGCGCAGGCGCAGACACGCACTCCGGAAGCGCCTCCCGGCAGCGCGGGGGGCAAAGCCCGGGGGACCGCCGGGAGTCGCGCGGGTCCCGCCAAGCGCCAAGCCCGCCGCGAAGGAAACAAGGCTCACTCGAGAAGTATTAGATCAAGTATTAGTATGTATTTATGCACAATAATAAAAACAGATTTACAAGTTGAACTGGAAATTTAAACATAAGAAGTTTAACAGCTTTTATTATATTAAATAACCAAAACACCTTTTATTCCCCAAATTGGTAAAGAATAAATAATATAATTTACAATATGGTACAAAAAATAACCAGGAAGGACAGGCATTCTGCTTTGTACATACACTGTATATGCATATTTATAATCCGTACAACAGATTCACGTCTCCGGCGAGCCGAAACCTCGGGGATATGGCTTAACGATTACTACCGGGAACCGCGGAGGGCGGCGCCGCTGCCCCGCGGCGGACACACGGTCCCGCTCGCTGCTGTGCTCCGACGCCACGCGTCTGCGCTCCCCGTGAGCCGCGGGTCCCGGGGCAGGTTTCGCTGGGGGTTCCTTCCTCCTCTTAAGACAAAGTGCCCTATCTTCTCACAAATGCGTCTGAGAGATCTCAAGCTCTTTAAACACAACAAAAAAAAACAGCAACTGCTACTTTCCTCCTCTACTTGCTTCCAGTGTCTTATTCCGCGACTTTTCTTGGCCCGAGTTTGGATTCCATGCTGTGATCTAGTTAAGAGAGGCTATTCCACTGGAAAGGATGCCCTTTTCGGGATCCCGCAGCTAAGCAGCGGGAGATGTGGGAAAGCAAGTAGATCAGTGGGTGAACTGTTTCCAAATACCCCTCCCTGAGCAAGTACTCTACACCTAGCAGATAGGACAGGTGAGGGCCACGTCCTCCCAGATGCTCCCGGTCACCAGCCTCCACTTAACACTTCCCACTGCGTCTTCTAAGCTCATCACAGGCCACAACACCAACTCCATGAAGACCAGAGATACTCAAGTCTCCCGTCTTCACAAAAGCTCAATCAGCAAAAGGTCCCAAACATTAGAGCGACTAGGGAGTTTTCTGAGGGACGGATCTGGTCTTACTCACAGCATGCTCAAATGCACGAAGAAAGCCACACGTGCACACCAAGACTACGACGTCCATGGGACAGGCAGAGGAAGATCCAGGAGAAGGGGAGTTTCTCTGCTTGGGTCTCTTGAAAATTCCAGCCTTTACCAGCCGCTTAGGTTTATACACATGTATTCATTTAGGCTGGGAAAAAAACAGACTCGTTCTTTTAATTCTACTTTCCCTTTAACACAGCAAGCAAATGCTTAGACCTGTCAGGTTGCCCCAGCAGTGGCAGAATTCTCTGGAATCGTGTCAGCTTTGCTGCAGGTAAGAACCACCAGTCCACTGTCCTCCCTACTCCACCTGGCCCCTAGGTGACACTCCAGATGGAGTCTGTGGTTAAGGCCCTAGTGGAAGGTACCACTGAAGAGCCAACAAAAGCTGACCCCAAATCCTTAGTCTTCCTCCTTTTACGTGTCACTGAATCACTGGGGCCAGCCTATCTGCCAGACTGCCTCGGGGTGTCCCCTGATGAAAGCAGCTGAGGACCCCTACCGTCTCTGGCAACGTGCACACTACCATCAGGTCCTGCTCCCAGCATCGATGCCTTATGATACTGCGGGTGTCTGGTCCCCAACAGTAGAGTAGGAGTAAGTTAGTGGTGGCCTAAACTTGGCCTGGCATCCTAACCTACTACAGACCTAACAGAGTCAGCGGCCCAGAGCGCTCCACGGCTGTCATCCCCTGCGGCTGGTGCTCGTTTCAGGAAGCTGGCAGATGGACAGCTAAGCCACACAAGCTAGTTCAAGGACACTCTGGTTCAAATGATGCTATGTCTTCCTAAAAGGGCACGTCCCTCTCTTCTCCATCTCCAGAGCCTCGGGACTTTCTGTAGGAGCCCAGGAGAGCTGCCCAGTGGCTTCTATTAGTGATGTTTGTACCTAGAACCAGACCTGAAAGAAAACCACGTGACAGGCAAGAGCTCTGAGAAAAACTTGAGAAGAAGGAAGGAACGTACAAGCTGGAAGGCCAGTGGCCTCTCTTCCCTCCGTGGCTGGGGTGAATGGCGTGCCGCAGCCGGCTGTGGAAACCGTGGCACCAGGAGCATCCGTCCTGCTTGCACAGGCAAGAGACCTTTTCTGTTCCCTTACACGCTGCCTCATCTCTCCATTATGGAGAGGGAGAGGATCCTGGGGGAGGGCTGGGACTGGCCCGGGGTGGGACTGCCGCTCCACGGCAGGCAGGGGGAGGAGAGAGAAACTGTCCTCAGTTCAGGTGGGTTTCAAAAGCCGAAGTGGTCCGGACAGCAGGCGGAGGATGAAGCCGCAGGGGGACGGTAGTGCACAGGGCGCTCCCGGACCCACACCGCAGCGCTGGCTGCTGGCTACGACGGATGGGGGCCGGATGGGGCTCTGTCTGTCAAGCCTCCCCCCAGGCCAAGAAGCAGAGCAGCCCCATCAGCTCCGTTCCAGGCAAACTCTAGGCACTGACCCGCCAGCAGTGATGGCAAACAGTCACCCAAAGGAGGCCCGAGCACACGAGAGGGACGTGGCTTTTGCGTGCTCTGACTGCACCCAGGCGTCTGCGCCCTGCTTGCGCTCCCTGCGCTGGAAGAAGAGAGACACAGGACCACAGGGTGGGGGAAACGTGTGCATGGGGTGGACTCTGCACAGAAGCCTGCGGAAGGAAGAGGAGGCTCTGGAGAGGCAGAGACCTTCCCAGAAAGGGCGCGCATGTGAGTGGCAAGCCAGCCGTGCCTGGGCGGTTCGGGAACTTGTGGGCCAAAGCACGGCTGCGGACCCAGGAAAGGACGTCTTCGTTGACCAAGAAGCTTGAACACAGGAAGGAAACCCTGAATTCTTTTCTTCTTCAACGTCTCCTCATTCTCAAAACACAAGGAAAACCTTTTCCAACCACTTCAGCAGAATTTTCTCCTAAAAGTCCACGCAAGCTGCACAAAACCGGATTCCCTCCTTCCCGTTGAGCCAGTCAGAACAAAGCTCCAGCGGGGAGAGCTCACTCAGCAAGGGCCAGTGTTTCTGGGGGACGGCGCCAGTTGTGCTGCCCTGCGATCCGGGTGTCCTCCCAAGTGTCTGCTGAGGGCGCAGACCCCACCAGGCAGAGCCCGGCCGTGCCCAGCTGCCCTTCCCCGTCCTTTGCAGAAAGAGCAACCGCAAGGTGCACAGATTTGGCAGAAAAAGAGCAGCGGTGGCTGGAACTGCCCTTGCAGAGAGCAGCGAGGCTGTGAGTCCCGGGGGCCGTGGCCACCGCCGCACACCCACACCTTTCCCTCGGGAGGACAAGCCACTGCGACGTCCAACACGACAAGTGAGGCAGAAGCGCGGGTGGGAATGTGGCCACCACGCGCTGTCCCACGGCCAGCAGGGAGCGCCACAGCAGCGTCTGACATGGGCCCTCCTAGAGAAGCCGTCCTGGTCTCCTAGGCCACCACAGCCCTCTGCCCTTTGGGACACGGTTTCCTGCCTGGTGCACATTCTGGGGCACAGAGGTTCCTCTGTTCAGATCATCTCCAGGGGGCTCCTGGGCTTGTTTTCTCCAGCCTGTAGAGAGCTGCTCCTACCACCGCGGGGGACCACCAGCCCTCCTCTGCAGCCTCCAGGATGCCCCACCAGGGATGAGGTGTGGTCACTGGGACAGGTCACCGACAGGGGGGCCGCCTCCGCTGCCATCAAACAGAGCCTCTCGGCGGCTGGGCTCGGCGATGGACAGCTCTTGGGCCAAATCGTTGAATCGAGATATGTAATCGATGCTGTTTTCATTCATCATGCACGCCAGCTGGGAGTCCACAACCTACAAGGCAGAGGACACAAGGAAGTCCAGGTCAGCAGGCTGACGAGAGTCTCAGATACGTGCGCAGGCCCATCTGCACAGGAGCCGAGGGCTTGTAAGCGCACGTGCGCACACGCACACACAGGAGGGGAAAGATGGCTTCTCCTGTGACATCACACCCACGAGCAGTTTGAGAAATGCTGCGCGCTGCAAGGAGGGCGCGCCGCTGTTCTTTCTGCATCTATTCGGGTAGAATTTCTAGTCACGTCACCGCTCAGCTCCGAACTCTCCCCACGAGCTCCTCAGATCTCCAGGCGCCAGCCGGGATAAGGCGAAGCCGAGGCGTCCGTGAAGAAACAGCCGTGAGCGGTCGGACGCAGGGCTCCGTCGGGAAACCAACGAGAACTCTCAGAGAGACCCACCGACACCGGCACGTCCCAGGGAAGCAGCACTCGGGAGACGCTGCCCCAGGCCTCTGACCCCAGGACTAGGCCCAGCCTTCTCTCCGCGGAGCCTTCTCTCCGTCTCCCGCACGTTCTCCCGCCCGACTCTCTCGGAGCGCTGCGCTCTCCCTGCCCTCCCAGTCCTGCCTGCTCCCTGACGCACCCGCTCCTCGCGGGGTGGAGAACCAGGCAGCTCCGAGTGGACAAACAAGGGGCGTCACAGACCGAGTCTCGCCTCCTCGTCCACTCCCCACCCCGAGCTGGTGTTCAGCTCAGCGGGCGGCAGCCTCAAGCCACCACAGGGAGAGGCAGCTGGAAGGCGCCCCTGCCCATCAGACGGTAGCACGGAGGACGTACCACCCGCAGCGGCCACCTTCTCCTCGAAAGACGGCGGCAGCAACGGATGGACCAGGAAACCGAAGCAGGAGCGGCGGCGCTGACGGGGAGAACACACCCAGAGCCCGCGCTGCCCACCAGCAGAGGCCCCATAGGCCACCCGCCTCCGGGGCTTCCCCAGCTCCGAGGCCTCCAGGGCAGAGCTGTTGGCTCATGTCCCGCATCTGCCGCCACACGGGAACGAGGGCTGGCCCAGGGCGGCCAGACCTTCCCGGGTCAGGACAGCTCTGGCTTCCAAGCGCCCAACAGGCCTGGCGGAGGCATCCGGCCCCCTCCAGAAGGCGAGCTGCCCGTCACGTCTGAGCCAGGGCCACGCGCCTACCTCAGCGACATCAGCCAGGGACCGGGACACAAACGAGTCTCTCGAGTTGCCATCCAGCAAGCTGGGGCCCAGCAGGGACGTGCCGCTGTGGGTCCCTGATGGGGGTGGCAGCATCTTCCGGCTCTTCTCTGGGGAGATGAAGCTTGCTGCCAAGAGAAGGAGGAAACATCCTGAGACCGGCTCGCCTGGAGGGTCCCGGGAGGCCGCAGACGGCCCTGCCAGGCACCCCCCAGGCGTGTACCCGTGCGCTCGTGTGGCCACGGGGCTTCGGATGGAGTCGTGTGCGCCTGGCTCCCTCCCACGGGGAGCCTGGAGTCTTCCGTGCAGTGGGAGTGAGTCGGCCTCGCTTTCCAGGAGCCCTGCCGCGGTCCAGTCGCGTCACCAGCCTCGTCTCCCTGTAAGGTGCTTCCGATTTCTCACGTTCTCTATCTGACTGTGCAGGCCCTACACTGTTCTGTGACCTCCTTCAGAGCAGAGCCTCATTGACACTGCCGCCCTGCACCCCCAGACCGGACCCTCATTCACCTACGCTGCCAACTACGGGCCCGCGTGCCCGCACGGGTGCCGACCTGACCCGTGTGTAAAACCACCCTTTAGGGCCACCAGCCCCGCACCACACGCGTGTCCTCTAGAGAACGCTGGGGACGCTGATCCCACACGGGCGCCAGGAGCCCACCCCGCGCAGGCCACTGAGGCCAATGTGGCTGTCCCTGGCGGCTCCTCCCACCGCACAAGCACCTGGTGCCCACGGCAGAGGCCCCTCCTGCAAACGCTCCAGTCTATAGTCAACACGCCAAGAGACTGTGGGCACGTCGGCTTCATGACACTCAACTGTGGACAGGAAGAGGAAGCTGAGAGCGCCGAGGGCCATCATCTGTCCCACCGCCAGCAGCAAGAGCAGAAAGCCCAAGCTGGCAGGAGCCAACAGCGGGCAGCCCGGAGACGGGCACAGGAGACAGGAGTGCAGAGAAGGGGCCATCTCAGCCGGGCTAGCGTCACCGCGGCGTCCACATTCATGCCGGCTTTTGACGTGCCCCCCAGAGACCTCGGCGCCCCCCCAGCCATGTGAGGGACACAACATGAACCCTTAAACAAGCAGTTCTGCTGGGACCTCAGGCTCCAGGCCCCACCCATGTGCGCCACAGGGAGCCCGCCGTGCCCTGCTGTGCCCTCCACTCACCAAACAAGCTGCTGAGCGACGAGTCCGTGGGGTCGCTGGGGCACCACTGTGGGTCGTGGGTTGGGGAGGCGATCCAGTCGGGCTGGGGGCTGCTGGATGGGGAGGGAAGACTCTTGGAGCTGTCGCTGCCGTTCAGTTTTGCCGGAGAAAGAGGGACTCCCTCGCCTGTCAACGGAAGCGCTAGATCAGAGATGCCGTCGTGGGGAGTGGCACCCCGTGTCCCCCGCCCGCCACCCGGAAATCAGCAGGGCAGCAGAGCCAGAACCCTGCGGGGACCACGGAGGATGAACGATCCTGGCCTACAGAGGCAACCCTCGGCGGCAGGGGCCACGTGCCCAGCTCAGGGAGGGGCAGTGGCTGCAACTATGCTGACAGGGCCGGACCCCACGCAGAGAGCCGCCCCCAACACGCACTGCTGGTGCCGACAGCAGCCACACCGGTGCACCAGGGCGCATGTCCCCGTCACCAAGAGAAGTAAGACGCGAAGGTGAGGGCTAAGTTCTCCGCGAACCCGCAGCCTGAGGCAGACCAACAAGTGCTGTCCCAGAAAGCCTGTCACCAAAACCGCCACAGGTCCCAGCCCAACCCCCTCCTGGGACTCGCACAGCCTCAAGCTATCCTCCCAGATTCAGAGCTAACCAGAAAAAGGCCCCTCTGAGCCATGGGCTGCAGAGGCCTGGCGGGCCCATTCTGCCCTCGAGGCCATGAGGAGCCACAGCGCCCGTCTGCCCCGCATCCACTGGGGCTGCCCTGCCAGTCAGGCGGCGCCCCACACGCAGCATACACTCCACACTCAAGAGGGAGCGCGGGGCAGCGGTGTGCCCAGCAACGTGCAGACCCTGCCCGGGGGAAGTCAGGACCCCCGGGGCCCTCACCGTACTGGCCGGAGCTGATGGCAATCTCGATGATGGAGTCGCTGATGTGCGTGGCGGGCTCGCCCTGCGAGAGCACGTCCTCGGGTGGCCCGGGCAGGGAGATGTCCAGCAGTGCAGAGACGTTGGGTGGAGACAGGCGGCTGCTGGAGCCCTCCGGCGTGGGTAGGGGTACGGGGGGCCCATTGTGGAGAGGAGCCTTGGACAGCTCGGATAGGGAGAGCACGGGTGAGCCCTGGGTTGGGGGACAGGGAACACAACAGGTGATCAGGAACACGGAAGGGAAAACTGGCCTCAACCCACACGGCAGGGACTGACAGGCGCATCAACAGAGAAACGAGGACCCAGCAGCCACCTCTCCCTCCTCTGCGATATACACACGCAGTGGATTTATTTCTCTGGAAACCACCTGAGCAATGGTGGCCTTGGAGACCAGACCAAGGGGGGGCGGTGGTCGAGGGGGGCCTGGTGCTGCTTCCAAGGCTGGCAGGACAGCTGGTAATCTGTGCAAAGGAAAAGTACCAGGGAGAACTACTGGGAGATGACTTGCACCTCCTGGCCCCAAACAGTCCTTCCAGGAGCATGACTGACACAGGCCGCCTTGTGGCGGGGATGAAGGCCTCCAACGGGAGCTACGAGTTCATCTGTCCAGGCAAGGTGGGAAGGACAGTGCTGCCGGGCCTCGAGGGCTGTCTGTGTGCTCTTGCCACGACCTGGCAGTCCAGGGGAGCGAGGCTACGGCCACAGGCAGACCACGAGGGTGGGGGGTCTGGCTCAGAGGGGGCCCGGGGCAGCTACTCTGCCCTAGAGCTAACAGCACACTCTACCTGGAAACTGTCCGCCACTGGCTCCTGCTCAGGCCTTGAGGGGACGCTGATGAACGGGTCGCTTGTGCCCTGCAGCAACACCGGGAAAGCCAGTGAGCCCCCCGCTCGCACTCCTCACAGCCGCAGGGACAGGAGGTACTGCTATGGGGGCTAGGTCACCGAGTCCCCACAACTGAGGCTGTTAGTCCAAAGAGCAACCAAGTCCCCGCAGAGCCTGGGCACAGGGGCTGGGGTGGGGTCACAGACGTGCCAGGGAGGCATGGGGTGTCCTGCCAGCTGGTGTGGCCAGAGCTGCCTTCTCCAGAGGCAGCCAGGAGCCCGTGCCTGTCTTGGCGTCAGACCAAGCCTGTCCCACTGCCTCCACCTCCGCTGTTCCCTTGAGGCCACACAGCACTCACCCACGCCTCAGCCTCCCTGGCCCAGGCACTCTCCGAGAGCCTCCCGGGGCCCCTCGCCTCCTCAGGCAGAACTGGAGCCCAGCACGACCTCAGTCCCTTGGCCTTGGTGCCTATCCATCTGGAAAGCGACTGACCTATCCCAGAAGCTGTTGATGGTGCGGAAAACCTGAGCGTACTCACCCCCACAGCGGGGATGGAATCGCCATTCTGGTGGCTGCTGGCGGGGTCCTGACCAGCGACACTGGCGGTCACCTCGTCCGAAGACAGTGGAGAGATACCAGACAGGCCCTCAGTGTCCAAGACGGGGAGGGGGCTCCCGGGGATGATGCCGGCGCTTTTAGCGGCTAAGTCGACAGCACCTGGCAGCACAAAGGACGTCTGAAGCTCAGCTCCAGGGACACCCTGACAGTGACCCAAGGGGCTCACGGCACACCCTCTCCCTCACGCCTCATTTCCAAGCGAGGGCGAAGGCTCTCGTGTTCTCCCTGAATGGTAACAAGACACCGGCTTGGAGAAGACAACAGAAACCTCACTCGGAACCCTCCCGTGGTGTCTGCCGTGCTGGCGACAAAAACTTACTGGCCAGGTGGCCCGTGGCCTGGGGTGGAAGGGCCTTGGGCACAATCGGCCGAGACAGGGCAGCTTTGGTCAGGGAAGACTGGATGGGCCGGAATGAGCCTCTCCCTGCGGGGAAAGGACAGAAGCAAACGCGTCAGCCCACACCCCTGGGACGCATGACGGGGCTGTGGAGCACTTTCTCTTAAGCCACGGCCACGGGAGCTGAGCCTCGTTGGAAGCACTGAACTTCCCAGTCACCAACTTGGGAAGTCACGGGTCAGGCAGGCCCCGAGGAGGAGAAAGTCCAGGCCCCTGGGACCGGCACCAGCACGATTCCGGGGGCTGCTGAAGGCTGTGGTCCGCATGTCCCACTCGGGGCTGCCTTGATGGGAGGCGTGCACACAACCTGAGCGGCAGGCATGGCAGGCAGAGCCGCAAATCTGGCACCGGGACTCGGCCTCTGGAGGTTGGCACCCCTGCCAGCCTTTCTGCAGCTGAGGGTGCGCACGAGAAAAGCCGTGGACGCTCACGGAGCATGTGCTCTGACCCGCGGGGCGAGGCACGGCGCGTGGGTCACTCCACCAGGGTGGCCGCGGGAGCCCGCACGGTTCCCAGAGCCGGGGCCTCCTGCACCACACCCCTGCCCGCACATCACCACCCACCAGGCGTCCGCGCCTGCCCTCCGGGGCCCAGGCCCGGCACACTCGGGCTCTTGGGACAGAAGAGACATAGGGATGGCCGGGATGTCCTGCAAAGAACCAAGGACACCAACACCTGCTGTTCCCGAAGATGGGGCAACGCCCAGGAAAGCGTGAAGCCGGGGAGCCCGCATGCTTACCGGTCACAGAGGAATTGGACAGGATGGAGAAGGAACAGACATTGTGGGACTGGTGCTCAGACGGCCGAGGAAGCAGCGTTCTCTGTGGAGGGAGGAGTGCCAGTGAGCAGGTGACCGACAGACCCCGGGGCCGGCCATCACTCGGGAAACCGGCGATGAGCCGTAAGGGACATTCCAGGTCAGAGGGAGAGGAATGTGTCCGGACAGCGGCTCTGGCTCGAGGGCCGATGACGCAAGGGCCCTGGGCACACGGAGGACAGCTGTGCCTGCAGACCCCGAGCCCCTGAATGCTGGGCCTCTCTGACAAGAATCCCGAGGAGCCAACCTCCCCCAAGGAATGCCGGAGGGACGCCGCGATGGCATAGCGCTGGCTCAGAGTGACCTCCTATGTGCTGCACACCTGTTACGGGCACTGGCCGTGGACTCTCAGAGACAATCCCCCCCAGATCGCGGGGCCCTCGCACGCTTCGTGAGGAAATAAAGCGGCTCCTCACGACACAGACGGGCTCAGGCCACGAAGCACATTCCCACGGCTGGCGTGGCGCCGGCCCTCCCTGCTCAGCGGCCCCGGTCTCCCGGTGCCACATCATGCAGGGCAGTGTGGCGGCTGCCACCTCACAGGGAGTCACGGGAACGGCTGCGGCGGTCACAGAAATAAAACGTTAACAGGAAGTATCCGCCACGTGGAGAGACACGCCCGGTTCTGGACGCGAGGTACATTCTCTGCTCACGTGCGAAGGACGTCTCCTCGCCCCTCGGGGTCGGCACAGAGAGGAGAGGAGGGGACCAGGACACAGAGGCCCAGCAGGTCTTCTCTGGCGCCAGGAGGCATTGGGGCGACCCGATCACCTGGAGTGAGCTGCGAGGCAGCAGGAAGCGGCCCACTCTGCTGGCGGGAAAGCAGGGTGCGTGGCAGGGAGACGGAGGGCCTGTGCCACCAACACCTTCTAGCAGAACAGTGAACGCACAAGACCACAGACTATGTGTGGTTCCGCTTGTGTGAAATGCTCAGGAGAGGCCAACCCTCAGGGACAGGGAGCGTGACTGGAGACAGTGCTTGCCCGGGGCTGTGGGGTGGCACCTGAGGTGACGGCCACCGGCTTCCTTTGTGGAGAGATGGAAACGTCTTGGGGTCAGACAGCAGGGATGGCTGCCCAGCCGCGAGCCCTTTGCCCCTCCGGGCTGCCTGCCTCACGCACCCGCGGGAGCACTGTTATACAGCTCGACAAACGCCATCGCCGCGGGCCAGGAGCACGCGTGAGCCTGCACCCCAGGGCCACGGACCTGCCGTCCAGCCGGTCGGGGGCGGATTCACAGACGTCACCAGATGTGCCGCTACGGACTGCGACCGCGCCCACAACGCCCGGGACCTAGGATAGGGCAGTCCCGGCTCCACAGGGCAGGTGTCCCAACACCCCCACGGACACCTCGACTGTGACGGCGTCAACCCTGCAAGTACCGTTGTCCTACAAGGACGTAGCTGGGGCAAAGTCGGACCTGTAAGTTCGGCACAGTAGCGACCCAACAACACCCATCGGTAGCGAGATAGAACCGTAACTACCCACTGAAACCAAGGTCACGCCAGCGAGGTCTCTCGTCTCCGCCCGCAGGAGCGAGCGAGGTTGGCAATCAGGCCCATGAGGCAGCGCGAGGCTACCGCTGACCTTCTGACGACGTGCCCGCAGCATCACCCACTTCCTGCCGACCTCGGCTACAAGCCACGGCAGCAGAACTGCAGGAGAGGGGGCACTGCCGGGCACCCTGTGGCCTGAGACCCGCCACGCAATCTCTCCTTCCCACATGAATTAACCTCAAGGCAGGAAGAGATGTGTAAGGGACCAGCAAGACGAACAGAGCCCGTACACCGATGGCAGCACGACGCACCCGCAGCTCTGGGCTCCGAGTTGCTGCAGAAATCCAGCCTCAGCCGCACGCGCAGCCTCTTGCTGGCTGGCTGTGCCCGCGGCTCTGCAGCTGGCTGCCACGGGGCCTCCGCATGCCCTGCTGTGAGCTCACGGGAGCCTGGCCTCTGGCCACTCCAGTCTACCTGGTCATCTGCCTCTGCCGGCCGCGTGTATGTAACAGAGGCTCCAAGTCCTCGGACACACCCTGACCTGGGACACGCGGGACTTGAATCCCCAGAACACCCCATCTCTTCTACAAGTGGTGCTTGTGCCGCACAAAAACCATGTGTACGTCAGGGGACGGTCAGGGCCCCGTTACTCCTCCGCCTGTCCCTGCCGCGCACACGCACGCGGGCGCCCTGACCTGGACCACCAGCGGCTTCCGCAGGTGCCGGTTCCGTAGCTTCCTGGGCTTCGGCAGGAAGAAGTCCGACTGCATCTGCGAGGACATGGCACCGGGGTGAGAGCGCGCCCCCAGACGCAGGCCCCCGGCCGGCAGCGCGGCGCGGCCCGCACTCACGCTGATGGAGTTCAGGTGCGGCCGGAAAGTCAGCTCCGCCTCTTTACTGGGCGAGTGGAGCTTCCCGTGACGACTGTTGGGCGGGAGAGTAGTTGGGACAGCAAAAAGGCCACCGTCGGAGTCGCCGCTGCCTGTGCTGGAGGGGCCCGCCACCAGGAGGGGTCTCGGCGGGTTCCTCAGACCTGGAAGCCAAGGGACGGCAAAAAGGACCACTTACCACTCATCGCCAGCGCGCACGGAGCTCTCTTCCCGGAAGAAAGTCAGAGCGGGAACACGGGACACCCGACCCATTTGCTCACGTATTTCCTAGACCTCAGTTCCCAAACCTGCTTCCTACACGTCTCCCTGCAACCCTGGTCCCACCGTGGCTGAACCACGGCTTTCGCTGACGGCACAGCAGCACTCTGCCACCCCGAACTGCAGAGCAAAGGGCAGACAGGCCTGCAAGGACATCTGAGAGCTGGAAGAACCTTCCAGACCATGCAGCACAGACCACAGGTCAGCAAGCTCTCTCTGTAAGGGGCCAGAGAGTGAACTGCCGGGCTTGGTGGGCCCCCAGCCCCTGGTACCCCTGGGCTCTGCAGATGGAGTACAGCCGGGGGCCTCAAAGCCTGTCCTGACGACAAGCAGCGGTGGGCCCTGGTCTGCCGGTCCCGGCTCTACGTCTCTCTGGTAGCAAAGGCAGCCCAGAGATGACGCGGCAGAGAACGTTTCTTTAGGAACCACTGTTCCGAGACTCTGCCAGCAGCTGTCACCGTGGGTGCTGCTGCGCAGGCCCTCAAGCCATGTAGGGACGGGCCCCTTCCCTTAGTTTCCATTCGTGAGTCTGTGAAGTTAAGCTCAGGCCCTCTGAGCACCAGGCCGGACTCTGGCACTGCGAGTGTCCCGGTCTAGAAACATCCTCAGTGCAGAGAGAGAAAGGACGGGAAAGCCCGCGGAGACGAGGACCGTCTGCGAGCAGAGTGGAAGGCAGGAAAGAGTGCGGGCCCCGGCAGCTGGCCCGTCGCTCCCTGAGTCCTGGTCTGCACAGACCCCGAGCCAGCCTGTCGCCTCGGAGGCCACCGTGCGCCGATCTCATTCCACAAGCGGGCTACTCCAGGCACAGCCAGAGAACACATAGAGCTGGGGACGCGCAGGGACGGAAAATAACCCAGGGCACCTGGCGGTGCAGTTGCTTGAGCATCTGCCTGGATTTTGGCTCAGGTCATGATCTTGGGGTCACGGGATCGAGGCCCATGTTGGGCCCCGTGCTGGAACTTGTCTGAGATTCTCCCTCTCCCTCTCCATCTGCCCCTCATGCTCACGCTCATGCTCTCTCTCAAAAAAATGTATCTTAAAACAACTACAACAACAACAACAAAACCTAAAAGCCGTTAGCACACAGGCCACGAGGTCTGCTCGGCTCCAGCGTGCCCGCACCTGCATGGGTCTGATTAAAAGCAGATGCGGCTCCGCTTCTCGCATGCAGCACGTGGCCCTGACGCCGGGACGCCTGCGGGCGTGAGACGTTCACGGCGACCAGAACGGCCAGGGTGCCGCAGGGAAGCACGCGCCCACCGGACGGTAACTGCGCAGGCCTCCCAGGCACGGGGCACGACGGACGTGCCCGTTCCCAACCTCTGTCGTGTCAGGTGCCAGGTAACCAGAATGACCCTGCGGGGATGTTACTCCCCAGCTATGGCTCAAAGGACCAACAGTGCAGCCCCACTTTTCCTTCCAAGACCACGTGAAACGGCTGGGGGATCCCTCACCTGAGGGCAAAACTTCAAATGTAAAAGGAAACAGGCCCTTCTGAGGCTTTCAGCCACCGATTCAGCGGGCAAGGGAGGCTTCCGCTGACCTCTCAACGACCCCCCAAAGTGACCTAACTGGCAAGGCCCACCCCACGTTTGCCAATGGCGCCCACCCCCCAGGACCCAAAGCCTTAGGTGACAGTCCCGGAGCTCCCCCACCCCTGAGCAGCGGGGACTTCCGCTCCGACACGCCATCGGTGAGACGGCAGCCCAGTGAGTGGGGCTGGGCAGCAGGATGGGGCTGGGTACAGCCCCCACACCCAGGAAGACATGTGGGACTGCCCGGCCTCACCTGAGGAGCAAGGCGTGGAGCCGGGCGAGAAGGTCTTGCTGTTGCGGAGGGCGGACTGGCTGCGTGGGCAGCGGGGGCTCCGGGAGCTGACGGTCACCACCTTCCCCGGGGGGGTCGCCGACTGCTCCTCCTGGGCTGGCCTCACTGAAGCCGTGGAGCTGGTGTTCCCTTCTGGAGCCTGGGACGGAAATGGGCCACGATAGAAGCCGAACTTAGTGAATGATGGTTCGGGAAGGCCCAGAGCTGGGGGCATGAGGAGCTCCCACCGGCTCAGGGATCACAACACGCCCCGCATGGGTTAGGGTGAGGGTTAGCGTCCTAACCCTAACCCGTCACCTGGCAGCGTGCCGCTTTCCCACCGCCACCCGCAGGCAGGTCCTCCAGGGAGCAAGCACGCTGCCTCCAGGCCGCTCGGACCAGCAATCCCATCACGGCTGAGAGCCGGCGGGGACGCAGCCAGCCTAAAAGCGGTCATGCTGCCGGAGGGGCCGCCGCATGGTGGGGACACAAACTCGTCTTTCTAAAAGGCTTAAAAAAAGAACCGCGATGGTCTTTGCAGACTGTGAGTCAGAGGAAGGAAGTACAGACTGATTTTCTAGAATTCAACACGGTCCCAGCTGAAGCGGTCTCTGCTGACTCAGATGCCAACCCCGGGGTTTCTGCAGGCCCGGGCTCAGGCCGCACTCACTGCCACGGTCCCCGCCACAGAGACACCTTCTCCCTCCCCACCCTGGTGACCCCTCGTTGATCTCCCCCAGCACCCACTCTCCGGGAGCACCGGAGCCGACCTCTCTGTGAATTAGGGACCCCTTCCTCTGCTTGTGGCACGACCTTGCCAGCTACAGCTTGCTCAGGGCTCCATCCTGACCCACCTTTCCCTTTCCGTGGGACCCTCCCACCCCGCACCCTGCTCTGCTCCCCTCCTGCTTAGTTTGTTCAGAATCCCCACGCACTCGCCCCCCGCACACCCAGCATCCTCTTGCCAAGGTCCCGCTGGCCAGTGGCCTGGGAGTGGGGGGCACTGGCTCAGCAGCTCCGCCACGGCAGGGGCCGGCGGGACCAGCCAGCCTGCCTCCCACGCAGGGCTCCGACTCAGCTTGGACCTCTACCCAGGGGCTCTCACAGCCGAGCTCCAACACAGTCCGCTGGGGGAGGGGTTCCTACGTCTCTGGGCCCACAGAACGCACATCTCTCATGAGTCCCCAGGTGATGCAGAGGCCGCTGTGGGGGCCCCACTCCGGGGCATGGCTCTGAGCAGCCCGCTCTGAATTCTCTGCCGTATTCCCAAGCTGCCTGCCATTCTCTCCCCGTCAAGGCCAAGGCCACTGCCTGCGTCTGCTGCTGCCCCAGGCTCCACGGGAGCTGGCCTCGCTGGGTCCTCTCCCCCAACGTACAGGACACGCTTCTGTCCCTCCAGTCCTCTCTCCTCCAGGAGCCTCACTCTAGAACATTCTCTGAACTCATCTGTCCACTCGCCCGCACGTTCTCCACGCCCGTCCGCGGGGCACTAGCCCTCTCCACACTAAACCTAAAGGCCACGGCTCGCCCTCGGGTCTCTGCAGTCCCCACCCAGGTCCCACCAGCCCGTGAGAGCCCTCTCTCCTGCAGCACGGACTCACATGCATCCCCGCACGCTCCACTGAGCACCTTCTCCGTGGCAAACGCCGCACAGGGACGCGGGCAGGACACACGCTGAGGGCCGTCTCTCCAGGAGGAGCAGAAACGGCTGTGCAGACATGACTGTTCTGGTGGGCCCACAGGGTCCCTACAGCCCATTCTGTCCCCCAAGCCCCCTCCTGGCCACCACGTTCCGCTCCCCTGGTATCTGCTCCTGGAGGTGATGGACCCCCGCGCTCCCAAGCACTAAGCATGTGCAGCGGCTCAGGAACCCGTTCAGACTCCATTCTCTCGTGCCCAGGAAAGCCCACGGACTTTCTCTCGGTGGCATCCTCTGCCCCGTTGCTACTGACCTGATGCCTCAGGAAGGGGTCACAGCCACTCTCCAGGCTTACGGACCCCCCAGCATGGAGCCCCTGAGGACCCCCAGAGCCCTTCACCTGGCTCCTGGGCGCAGGCCCGGCACCCCGTCCGTCCCCTCCCCATCCCCTTCCCTCCTGGGAAGCTGTGCCACCGTCCTCCCAGGACGGCCCCACTCAAGCACGAATGACCCTGCCATTCCCTCTGCTGAAATCTGCAAGGTTCCTGCCTGGCTACTGGCCACGGCGACCGCATCGCCTCTGCACGGGCTCTCCCCTGGCCAGGAGGGAGGACCGAGTGTAATTACTGAGGCCTGACAAGGAATGGCTTCTCGGTCACTGTTGTCTTTGGAGCCTCGTGTGAGCCATGAGGAGGAGGCGCTTGCCTGCAGCAAACCAGAGCCCTCTCTCCAAAACCCGGCTCCAGGGAAGGAACCGAGGCCTGCCCGGTCAGCTGGGTCCCCGCCTCCTTCCCCCCCCAGGACCCGGCTGCCTGGGTGAGAGCCTGTAGGCGGAGCCCAGCCCCCGCTGGGGTGGGAGCAAGGCTGTGCGTCCACCTGCACTCACCAGCCTGGGGTTGACCTCCGTGGAGATAAGCTTCAGGAGGCAGCCGAGGAGACGCTGCTTGTGGAAGGTGGAGGGCGGGGAGCCAGTGCGGGAGCCCTGGGCCTGCTCGCTGGGGGCCTGGCCCTCGGGGCCCAGCACCGCCAGCCAGTCGTACTCGAGCTGCAGCTTGTTTGGCTTGCCCATCATGAGGTAGACTTCGGCCAGCGTAAGGCTTTCAGAGGTCTGCAGGTTCCAGCCCTCCTCGCGCAGCTGCTGGGCCAGCCGGCTGGCGGGGACATCCTTCGGAGGCTTGGTGGCAGGCTGGCCCTGAGGCGGGGGTTCCGAGGGGCTCGCCTTCTCCTGGGGCTCCTCTGCAGGTGCATCTGCTGAGTCTTTAGTGCAAACATCTGGCTGGAGCCCGGGGCCGGGCTGAGGCTCTGGAGCCGGCGGGGCACGGACAGGGGACGGTGGCCCAGCCCGGGTGAGGTCGGCCACCTCTGCCCCGCCGGGGAAGCGAGTCTCTGGGGAGGCACACCCGTAGGGCCGCAGGTCCGCACAGCGGCACTGCTCGGGGATGATGAGGTCCTGACAAGACTTCATGTAGCGCGGGAAGGGGTCAAGGAGTGAGAGCTCCTCCTCTAGCTCCGGCAGCTGGCCACAGGCACACGTCCCATCCCCGGGCTCTCGGGCAGGGCCGTCCCTGCCCTCTGCGGGAGCAGCCGTGGGGGTCTTCTCAAGCCGTGCCCCGGCATCCTGAAGCCCCGGGGGCAGCCTGTCAGGAGTGTCTAGGCTGCTGAGGCTCGGGGGGGCCCCCTCCCCAGGGGCACTTTCAGGGGAGCTCTCTCCAGAGCTCTGGGAGGCGTCGGTGGAAGGAGGAGGACGTCCCGGGCCCTTGCCCTCAGCGCCGCCTCGTGGACACTTCACCTGGCCCCTGGCCGTGCCCTGCCCACTCTGGATGCCCAGGATCTGGGCGGGAGGCAACGTGTGGGCATCCTTGGAGCTCTGCTTGCACCGGCCGCCCTCCTGCCAGTGCACGGTGCAGAAGGCCTTGGAGTGCACGACGCGGGCCACTCCTGGCAGCGGCGTCAGCGTGCAGCTCTCCCCTGGGAACAGGTGCAGCGCCACCTTCTCCTGCAACGGCTCCGTAAGCGAGTGCTGCAGCTGCCGGTCCTCGAGCGTCTTCCGCTGGGCACGTAGTCAAGGAGTGGCCAGAGGAGCAGACCCCCCATGTGCCACCGGCCGCAGAGCACGCATGCCAGGGACGTCCTCCTCTACCGGCGATGCACCCAGCAGCCACCCTCCCACCAGGGACTGCAGGCTAACTGGCAGCCAAGGACACAAGAAATCTGGGGCTGTGTCCTTGCTCGTGGTACTCAACCTGCTGGCAGGGATGCTGTGTGACCCCAGCCCTGCTACAGAGACCGATGGCAGCCACCTGCAGTGCAGACAGCAAGGAGGGGCTCAGACTGAGCCCCCGAAGATGAGGGACTGTGCTTTAGTCCCCGCTCTGCCCCCCCACCCCGGGCCCTCTGCACCCTCAGGAGGAGACGAGAAGCTGCATCTTACGTAGCAGGCACGGCAGGTACGGGCGAGGCCGCGTCACTAAGAAAAGGATACGATCCGCACTTCGTGGAGCGCCCACTTCTGTTTCAAGAACTCGATGAGGCTGGAGACCTTCCGGTGGAGCTCCACTATCATCCTGCGGAGAAACCACGGGCAGCACAGGGCGGCCGTTACACAGGGAGGGAAGCTCCTGAGGACCACGAGGCTGCGGCGGGGACATGAGATGGGGCCACGGGCTGCGGACACAGCGCAGCGGAGAGGCCAGAGGCACGGTGCCTGGCAGGGCCACTGACTCCTTTTCTTAGAAGTCAGCCCTTTAGGGGCACCTGGGTGGCTCAGTCAGTAAAGCGTCTGCCTTCAGCTCAGGTCGTGATCTCAGGGTCCTGGGATCGAGCCCCTCATCGGGCTCTCTGCTCCGCGGGGAGCCTGCTTCCCCCTCTCTCTCCGCCTGTTCTCCCTGCTTGTGCACGTGTGCGCTCTGACAAATACATAAATCTTTAAAAAAAATTAGCCCGTTCAATGGAGAGAAATAGAGATTCACATGAAGCTGTGAGAAAAAACCAGCGCTCCTATGTGCCCTGACAGGTCGTAGGAGAGCGCCCCCGGGATGCAGGCCGTGCCGCAGCCCACCACGCTGTTCTGTTAGCATCCTCTGGGGCCAAGAAGTTGGGCCGGCCTGAGCACCAGGAGAGCTTCCATCCACATGGAAGCAAGAGGTCCTGACAGATGACGCGTTCTGCTCGGGGAGAGCAGCCACACAGCAGACCACAGGCCGCACTGTCCCCTTCACAGGAACCGAACTGGCATGTGTGATGGGCAGCCGAGGCTGGGGGTGGGGGAAGTGAAGACGTCGTGTGCACGAGGTTTTGAGATAATGAAATGTTCTGGAGCCAGATTGAGGGGAAAATCCTACAGTGCCGTGTGAAGGTACCCAGGGCCATGAGTCAGACACCCTAAATGAGGAACAGTTCATCGTAACTTAGGAGAATTTTACCTCAAAGAAGAAGTCTAATGTCTAAGTGAAAACCGGTCTGGACTCCTAGTGGTGCCGTGTGTCTACATCCCACACAAATCCCCAGGGAGATGCTAAGACAGCGGGGAAGGGGTCCTGAGGGGAGGGACTGTCTCCATCACCCTGCTAACCACAGAATCTGTCTCCTGTGGCCCGAGAGCCCCTGCCACGTGTGAAACAGGAGCTCGACCCCTCCAGGACCCCCAGGTCTGAGGGCTGCCACAACAGGGCCTCACTGTCCCCTGCCCTGCGTGGCGTCGGTGTCCTGGGGCCCCACCTCTCTCCCGAGGTGCCGAAGGCCACGGTACCTGAGCCTCGGGTTCTGGGCCAGGCTCTGCACGCGGGCCCAGGCGTGGTTGTTCCTCGGCTGCAGCTCGACGGGGACCTTCAGCGGCAGGCGCACGGGCTTCTGGTCCTCTTCGTCGCTCAAGCCTGTGACAAGACGGGGCCACGAGGGCCCAGCACACGTGAACCTTGATGCAAAAGGCCGCGCGCTCGGCCACACAACGAAGAACATCAATGGAGCTCCGGGCAAACAGCTCTGCCATGACAGCGAGGCCAGCAGAGAAGGCCCCGGGGACTGGGGCTCTGAAGCAGGGAGGTCAACAGGGCCGTGGGCACAGCTGCAAGCCTGAGCCACGGGCCAGGCCACGAGAGGCCACAAGAGACCTGCCTGTGACACCGGCAGACATTTTGTTTGAACAGGCTGTGGCTTCTGAGCTAAACTCAGTCTCCTAGGGGGCACACTGCCGGGACACGGAGTTTCAAGTGCAGGTGCTACCCGTGGGCAGGAGCAGCAGAAGCAGGCTCGGAGCCGCCGGGCAGACACTGCCAGCTCAGCCGTGCACCGGCACCGGAGCAGCCCCGCGGCCGTGGGCACGTACCGTCCGGGTCGCAGAGCCTCTTCAGCGCGCGGCACATGGGTGCCTTGATCCGCAGGTTCCTCCCTTTGTAGCGCACGGTGGTGGCCCTGGGAAGGTTTGAGGGGAACCGTGAGGTCTCCACATGAATGGCCACTCTCCGCCAAGCACACACAGAGGGCCAGTGAGAGCCTGGACACACACGGGGTCTGGAAGCCCCCGGGGTCACAGGCAGCTGCCCATGGTGAGACCACACTATGACACTGGAGGTCCCACTGTCCTCCCGCCCGCACCTCCCGCTGCGAGGAGGATGCCTGTCCGTCACCGGAAGCAGGCCCGCCCTCAGGCCTGCAAGTAGTGTGGCACCAGCTGCTGTCCATCCCCTGGAAAGCCCACTGTGCAGGAGCCCCCATCAGACATCAAATGCACGCCCTTCTCTCCTCCACCTCCTCGAGGTCCCTGGAGAGCAGAAGCTCCGATCCCTGCTCGAGGCGGCCACTACTCCCCACTACAGCACTCTGCGGTCCCTACGTCAGCCACACTGGCGGAGCCCTCGGGAGCAGGAGCCGCTCGCATCCCATAGACACAAGGCGCCACCTGCTCATGCTCCCCAAAACGGACCCCAGGCGGGCCCTGGATCTGCCACAGCTGAGGATGACCCTGTGTGAACCCCACCGTGGCCACAACTTGTGTGTTAGAATGACACAAACTAAAGGATTTCCTGTAACAGATGAACAGAACATCCAAAAGAGAGTTCCTTCCGGGAAGCACACTTGGGAGGTTGGGGATACTCGAGAAAGCTTGGCTGTCCTGATAAATGACCGGGAAGGGACGACAACTCTGGGACACGGGGGACCCGGCAGGACATGGCAGCCCTTCCTCTGCTTGGAACAGGAAGTCACCGAAGGCATGTGCAGGCCAGCGCTTCTGGGACCAGGTCACCACAGGACCCTGAGACGTCACAGGCAACTCTGGCCGGCCAACCAGTGGCTACAGACGCAGGTTCACACTCTGTAGCAGGGTCTGGTATGCCGTAAGTTGCTTTTATAACTGTTTTAACCAGTTTTTGGAATGCTGTGACCTCTCCAGGAGAGAGCTGCTGTGTCATGGCCACTCCGTTTCTAAGAAAACCTAGTGAAGGACTTAGAGGACGTATGTGCTATGATTCCAAGCGTATGAAAAAGAATCACGTATTATATCTGTACATTTACACACATGAAGTCCCACGGAAAAAAAATCGGAGATACACACGGACCTTGTGTCCGTGGTTACTTCTGGAGCAGAAGGCGGACAGGGCAGCTGGGGTTAGGGTTTGCACCACTGGGTGTGCATGCGGCCGTATTTGCGTGTGACGCACAGAGCTATAGAAGCATGACTCTGGAACAGTCTTGCCTACAGCTGGAGGTCCTGGTGCCCTCGGCGGTGCACGACAAGCGTTGGCTCCCCACCCCCAGCCCCTCCCCGAGGACAAGCCCCGTGTGCGCTCACATCTGCGCTGCAGCTGGCTCGGACACAACTCCCACCTCTGAGGAAACAAAGCTGCACCGCCCTCCTCCTGGGGAGGGAAAGAGCTCTGAGACCCCCACAGCAGATCTCACGGAGGCCCCCAGAGGGAGTCTAGAAGGCCAGGACAGCGGTGGGATGTGGGCAGGACCAGGCTGCGGCAGCCAGTCTCACGAGACCCCAGCGCTAACGCCCCCGGGTAGCCGCCGTGCCGCGCACCCAGCCGCCTGCCGGCCGAGCCCCTTCTGTGCCGGCGATCAGCACAGCACCATGAGTGGCGCGGAGCTAGGGTCGCCTGTCGAAGAGACCAGGACACCAGGAAGCCCACTCCCCGCACTGGGCCAGGCAGCGTGGTTCAGAGGACGGAGTCTCTGTGGAAGGCACACCTCGCCCCGCCGAAGAGGGAAACCCTGAGGAGAGGCCCCCGAGCCGGGAAACGGAGGCGGCTAAGTGCTGCTGTGGGCGTGCGGAAGGCGGGCTCGGTCCCAGCCGGTCCCGGCTGCAGCTGCGGGGCCCGGGGGCCTCTCGGCCCGTCACTTCTTGTTCCATCTGCGCCAGAGCAACAACACGGGGTGGGCGGCCGCGCCACGGGGCACCTGTGTTTGCGATAATTACATTTTCCGTTAAACTGCTCTTTTGCGACTTCCTTTTTTTAGTTTTTTTTTTAAGTGAAATTGAACAGCCCCCTTTTGTACGACCAGAAAACATCTCAGATCACGCTCTTTTTTCTTCTCTTACACGGAGGTCCTGTGAATGTCCTGAGGCTTGCGGCTGCCGAGGCAAAGCCCCGCTCAGCTCGCGGACAGGCCTCATGGGCCTGGCCACAGTCCCGGATGCGGTCCATGCCCCCCAGCCGCAAGCCCGTCCTGGAGCTGAGCCACGGCAGGGCGACCACCAGGCCGGGCGCCCCGGCTTTAAGACACACCATCTGCAGAAGGCTCGCACTTCAACACTGACAGAAGGACGCCCAGAGGACCCCAGGCAACCCCCCCCCCCACCCCCACGTTGTTGCTCTGACGAAACAGGCAACAGGCTAGCTCCTCTACGGGCACGGGAGTCTAGGTTCCCTTCTGCAAAGTCACGTGACGAGCCCAGTAAGCACGTGCTGACTCTTCCCCGCTAGCCTGGGACTGTCGCCACGAGGGGCAACCTGAGGGCTCTCCCCAGTCCATCTGCTCCCGAGGCCTACAGCTCTCCAACGAGAGGACGCTCACAGACCACTGAGGAAGTGTACAGGAGCACACGGGAAGTTAGCTGCATCGGCACTCCATGGCCTCAAGTAAAGGAGCCGTTCCTGACGGGTACCGCACTGACGTCCCCGGCATCTGCTTCGCCTTTATGGGACACTGGCTTTGTTCTCGGAAACAGGCGTCTGCTGGTGGAAGGCGACACACCCAGCCGTGGAATGGGAGCGAAACCCGCAGAGAGACCCACGCAGCGCGGCCCGCGGGCCTCACACAAGGGTACGGGAGCACCAGGGGAGGAAGGACGGCGCTTTCCAGATGCCCACGGACCACGAGTATGAACCACGGCACGAACTGCGTGTCACAGACCACGAATAGAAACATCAGACCCTAAAACTTTTACAAGGAGGCAGAGAGCAGCACCGTGACTCTGAGCGAGACAAAGAGTTCCCGGAGGTGACACTGAAGTCACAGCCCATAAAGGAAGACAGCAGACGGGGCCTCAGCAGGACTGAGCACCCACCCCCCATAGGCACCAGGAAGGCAGGACAAGCCGGAGACCAGGAGAAAACACTGCCGACACCCACCCGACCAAACACTTGTGTCTGCAGCGCTTTGAGAACTTTCTCATCTCGGTGATAAGGAAACAGGTGCAAGATCTGAACAGGCTGGTCACTGGAGAGAGGCAGAAGGGCGACACGGACATGCACAAGAAAGATGCTCAGGGTGGCCAGTCCCCAGGGACGTGCAGACCGACCCCGCCAGGAGACACACCACTTCCCACCCGTGAGGCCCAGTGTGGAGAGCGTGGGCAGCGACGGGCCTGCCTGGAAGACCACAGGCAGCTCCCTAGGAAACCAGCACCCACACCCCTACCCGTCTGCCCGGGTGCCACGGAATGAACACGCGGACACCAAGGTTTAGAGCAGCTCCTTCTACGGAGCAGCCCATGCTCCTCTCCGGGGGACGGAGAAGCACACGGGATGGCCGCCGCGGGGATGCTACGCCGCAGGGAGAGGCACCAACTCCAGACCCACAGGGACAGAGCTCACACGCACACCGCTACGGGGGAACCGCCAACCTCAGACGGCCGGGCGCGGTGTGACCCCGTGTAGACGGCGTCCCGGGAGAGGAGGACCCTAGCGGGGCTGCCGCGGCTGGGCAGGCATGGGGAGCGCAGAGGGGCAGCACAGGGAGGCTGGGGGTGATAGAGCCGGCTTGTCTGCGCCGTGCACCTCCTCACACTCGGAATAGGATGTGAAAGGCTGTGTGAAAAGGCCATCTTCTGGGTGATGCCCTCTCGGTGACATTCGGGAAAAGGCACCCTTGCAGACAGGGCTGGGGGTGGGAGCGAGTCAGGATAGCATGGGGGTCTTGCAGGGCAGGGACGCTATCCCACAGGAGCCTATGGTGGACACAAGACACTGCTCTACTGTCGCTCTCATTCTGCCCTGCCGCACACACACGTAAGAAGGCACCTGCTCACGACCCACTTCCAGACAGCGGCCCGTACCGCAGACCACAGACAAGTCCACAGTCCAGCAGGGGAGAAAGGGAATGGAAAGCACAACAGGACAAGTGACAGCAAATGCACACACAGGACCGCCCTCTCCGACCACCCAGAGCCGGTGCACGTGAGCATGGCCTGTGGGCAGCTCCTCCACCAGTAAATCCAGGTCAAGGAGAGACAGTGTCTGTTTTCCTGCTGTTTCAACCTTTTTGATGCTTGAACTTTTTCACGATCAACTTTCTGAAAGACTGAAAGAGTGACCACCTTGCTTCTCGGGCACATCAGCCAGAGCAGACACAGAGCCAGCAGCACACGGCACCACCTGGGACCTGTGAGGGGCTCCCTGGAGCCCCGACTGACCCAGCCCCGGTGCCCAGCACTCAGCTGTTCCGGAGCTTTGGGTTGGTCCAGGGCCCGACAGGAAAGCTCCCACGGTGCCTAAGGGAGTGCCGAGCTGGCCAGTCACACGTGAGAGACACACGACACGCAGACCGTGTGGAGGTTCAGGGCGGCGTCTGAGCTCGCAGCCGGGGGACGAGGGAGAGCCCGTCATCCGGGTAAGAGAGGGAGTGTCCCGGGGCAGGGGTGGCAGAGGGCAACGGCAGTCAGAAACCCTAGCCCCAGTGAGGCATGCAGCCTGCCACCCACGGGGCCTGGGGGAAAGAGCTGGGAAGCAGGACCCGGGGGCACCCAGCCTCTGTCTGGGACACTCCTCGAGCCCAGGGCCTCACGAGCTCTGTGCTGGGGCTGGCTCCCACCTGTCCCCGCCTCAAGGTCCCAGGGCCAGCACTGGGGGGGGGTCGCTGTCACCCCACAACCCTCTGAGGGCTCCTACACAGTTTGACCACCGGGCAGCAATAGCAGCCACTCAGCATGAGGTCCCAAGGCTTACGCCACAGACGTTAGACTTCTGCAGCCAGAAATGCAGACAGATGCGTTTTCATGAATAAGGCTCCACAGGGCAAAAGCAGCCACACCAGCGTAGAGCTAATAAGAATACCCTTTCCTAGCGCGGACTTCCCTCCTCTCACAGGACAGAAGCTCGCCCACGAGCTGCTCAAACAGAAGGCTGGTGTGAACAGAGGTGCCCTGCACGCCCGCCACCCCCAGAGGGCCCTGGTGTGAGGCGAGAGCTACTCACTGAGCTGTCCCGCTGCGGCCAAGCACTCACCCTGTCTCGCTTCCAAAGAGAAGAACGCACCCCACATCCCGCCAGGCCCCGCGCGTCCCTCTGCGCCGCCCTCTGCCAGCGTGAGTGGCACTGCGGTACGCACCCTTACGAGGGTGGCTCGCCGTTGGCCTAACGGCTTCCCCGCCGTGGGATGTGGGGTCAGAGGGCACGCACACTTACAGGGTGGGTCACACACGCACACTGCACGCCTGCTGTTTGCAAGCACTTCCACGGACAGTGCCCTGAGACTCTCCACCCACAACTGTGACAGACAACATCGCCTCCGTTTGCTCTCCTCTCTGGCCTGAGCCATGCAGGGAGGCACACGTGGTAACACTCCTCCCCACCCTTGACCCGGGGGGTCTGGGGAGCGGGCACATCGGCCTGCAAGCTCTCCCGACGGCTGTCACGCGCCAGGGCAGCCAGGGAAGGAGATGCAATGTGACTCGGGCTGCAACCCCACTTCCGTGCCTTCATGGCGGGAGAACATGCGCCACCCCACGCTCTCAGCCACTGTTGCCCCGACTTCGCTGCTGGGGGGCTCGGGTCACATCCGGCCTGCCGCCTCCCTACGTGGCCCCCTTTAGGTGTCCCTGCGCGCAAGGAGGACTTCGCTGCCCTCCCTGCAGCTCGGGTATCTCCACCGGCTGTGGGGAATGCGGCCCGGAACGTTCCCTCTGGTCCCCCCGGAGCAGCCCGGGTGCTGATCCACCTGCCCCGGACGCACGCTGTTCACCGGCCACGGGCCGTCCCAACAGTGCGCCACTGGTATCCAAGACAAACATGAGGTGCACACGCGCCTCCTGGATCCTTCCTGGGTCGGAACCATCACACAGTCACATTGCCTTCAGGCTTTAATATGATGGCCCCTTGCCCAGACCGTGGGGACTTGGTTACTCGGCCCTCTGGCCCCCAGCTCAGGGCCTCTCCAATCTCCAGGAGGCCCTAAAACTGACCACCAGACTGTTTTCATGCTTCTCAACACGCCTTCCCCAAAGTCGATGGGCTGTAAGGCAGACCCTTGTCTGTCCAGAAACCCAGGAGGCCACCTCCTCACTGCGCTGCTCCTGCAACGAGACTAACTCAAAGCCAAGCAAACGCACAGTTTTCCATTAAACCAGTGCCCGACGCCCTTGAGCACAAAGAACCAGGAATCTCGGCTCGGGCCCCGAGTGTGGGGCAAGTGAAACAGAAGGGGAAGGAGACGACCCCACGAATCGCATCCAGGGAGCGCGCTCCTGCTCGCGGGACAGCTCTCCTGCTGGCGGGGGAGATGTGAAGACCAGAAACCACTTCTGCTAAGGATCCTCTGCCTTCTTGCGACGCTGCCCCAGAGGCACGCACAGCACCCAGAGAGCCCACAAACTCAGCTCCGACCCCAGCAAGGCAGGGCCTGTGCGAGGGCGGGAAAGAGGAAGACGCTAAGACTGCAGCAGGTAAATGGGGGTGGGGAGCGGTGGCCAGAGTCACTCGCTCTGGAGCTTGGCCCCACGCCTCCACGAGGCTCCGCCTGCCCCAGGACACCGGCGGTGAAGGCTGCCCACCCCCCTCCATGGCAGGCAGAGTGAACTACTGCTCTTTCCACACGGCGCTCACACACGCGGCCTGGTGACTACCATGCCTGCTTCCAAGGGGGCAGTTCATGGTAATAAGCCCCTGGGAGCCCAGCGGGAGCATCTGTAAGGTTAGACGCTGGGCTGGAGCCAAGGCACAAACCACATGGCCAGCCCCAGCTGTCAGGAGCTCATGCCCAACGGGTGGGGGTGTGCAGGCCAGCTAGCACCAGGCCGAGAGAGAAAGGAGACCAGAGATGCAAGGCCATGTCCTGCAGATGTTCCAGGGGACAACTAGCCTTCGACCGGGAGGAGCCCGGGGACGGCCCTTGGGTCCATCTAGGACAGGGGGCAGAGATCCAGGCGGAGCACATGAGCTCTGGAGAGTCGAGGGGGAGGGACACGGCGGCAGCCGTCAATGAGGGCCACACCAGGGGAAAGGCCGTGCACACAGAACCCACAGACTGGGGACCAGGGGAGGGTCCAGGCCACGCAGTAGTGTGGCCAGGGCACCCACCAGGGCAACCGGGAGAGGCAGAGGGCTGACGGGCGAGAGGAGCAAAAGGAGGCCAAAAGGGACCCCAAGAGTGTGAGCTCGGGGCCTTCCCAGGAAGGGCTGCTGCAGCCTCCCAGCTGGGACACAGGGGAACTCTATGTCATACGGGATTTATAAACTGGGACAAGTTGGATCTGGAATCCCTCCCCAGAGAAGGTTTGCCAACGCCCCGAGGAGTGTTCCCACTGCCCAAGGAGAGCACAGAGTGGCACCAAGAGAAGTACGGCATCGGGACGGTCCCAGGAGGGATCCAGGAGTGGGGAGGAGCGGGCAGATACGGGGCTAGAGGGCCACCCAGAGTCAGACACCAGCACGAGGCCGGGGCCTAACACCGGCACGAAGCCGGGGCCTAACAGAGCGAAGGAGGCCCCGAAGGCCAGCTCTGAATGGGGCACCAGGCACGTGTCACACGTCGTCTCTGCTGCAGCAACAGTCGGTGCGGAGCAAGCGGGAGAACCTCACAGGCAGACCCGGCCCGGCCTCGAGGGGCGCGGAGCCTCGAGGGGCGCGGAGCCTCGGCGGGCACAGCACAGGAACAGGACCAGAGGAGCCGCACGACGGCGGGAGCGAGAGGAGAAGGCACTCCCAGCCCGCACGGAAGTGGGGACAGGGCGGGAATGTGAGGTGGTCAGGGCTGCGTGGGGGCTGCCACCGCGCCAGGGAGCCCCTAGGGAAGGAGGAGACGGGGAGCAGCCCGGGCGCAGTCCTGCTCCCAGGGCCCTGAGCGGCAATCCGCTTAACCCCGGGGAGTTCGGCACCTTACAGGCCTCGGTGAGAAAAGGCAAGAAAACCACGAGTCCCAGGGTCTGGGCCTCAGAGAAGCCCATGTGCGTCCCAAATCCGCGGCAGCGCTCCACAGGGCAGGCCCCACTTACCCGGCCTGAATGAGCTCATTCAACTTCGTGGCGTTCTTGTCGTCCATACCTTTAATGGAAAAGCAAATAAACGTGACCACAAAGCTCTACAGAACAAAACCCGTGAAGATTCCCAAGTCGTTTTCAGGTAACGGCCTTCCAGAACACAGGCCCGTTAGCCGCAGCTCCTCCCAAAGCCCAGACCGAGAGCGCCGTCCCCACCTGCACGTCACGTCCACCCACCCGGACTTTCTCGGGGGAACACTACCTGCCTCCGCACGCCGGATGCCTCCCTGCCAGACCCCCCTACGCTGAGCCTCCGCCCTCCCCAGCCATGGAGCGCACGGACCCCCCTCAGGTTCTTCAGCAGGCAGGCCTCTCCTGCTGGGCTCAGGGCATCTCTGGGTCACCAGGTCCCCAGGGTGGGTGTACAATGAACCGAGAGCCTACGCGTTCGCTAGCGCTGACCCCACGTTCCCCCGCCCCCTCCCAGCGTCCGCACGGCCCTCTAGACGGGCAGGGAAACAAAGTAACCTGAGAGGAGCTGGATGTTTGAGGGTCATTGCAAAATTCTTTTAGCTCTTCTATACTTTGGGGGGAAAAAACAAGCCACAGACAGGCCGAAAATCAAAACAAGGACAAAATCCTTCAAGCAGAAGAGAAAAGTAACTACTCCTCCTAGAGGAGTGAAGACACAAGGGCTAGTGGGCTCTTCCCAGAAACCGCGCAGGCCAGGTGCGGGAGCCACATCTTCACAATGAAGAAAGAAAAACTGTTGCATCAGAGATCTACGTCCCACAAAACACCTTTCAGGAACAAAGACAGTGACACCCAGGTGGCTCATGGGTTAACCCTCTGCCTTCAGCTCAGGTCATGATCTCAGGGTCCTGGTATCAAGCCCCGCATCGGGCTCCCTGCTCGGCTTCCTCCTCTCTCTCTGCCTGCCTCTCTGCCTACTTGTGATCTCTCTCTCTCTCTGTCAAATAAATAAACAAAATCTTAAGAAGAAAAAAGAGAATGAAGACAACATAGCTTTACAGACGAACGATCACTAAAGGACATGTGACGAGGACAGCAAGGCACGTCCCACAGGGACAGAGACAGACCTCCGGGACAGAAGGGAAAGAGGCAGGCGCAGCCCTCCCCTGGCGCACAAAGGTCCCAGCAGCCCCAGGGGTGAGCAGCGCAGCAGGCTGTCCCCCGGGAAGGCAGGGTCTGCAGGGCCAGGCACGCCGCCGGGAGGCCAGACTGTCCTGCAGGTCCATGGGCGTGGAGCAGAGATCAAAGGGAAAGCAGAAAGCAGTGCCAAAAGGAAAGCGAAGGTCCCATCAGTCCTGCATGGCAGGCAAGACAGACGGACAGAGGCCGGGGGTGGAGATGTGGCAACCACCAGGTTTGAATCATGTGCAGGCACCATCCCAGGACCCAGCCTTCAGGGAAAAGCGGCCCGAACACACGGGTGAGGACTGGAGATGGCTGGTGTATCCCCGTGCCCCGTGCCAACACTGGGCCGCTGTGGCAGCAGGAATAAACTCTGGGTGTAAGACTCAGACCTGGGAGCAAACCTGCCACCTCACAGCCAAGGGGCCTTGTATGGACATTTGTTTTCATCGAGGTGGAGCCTCTTTGGCCCCAGGGACACCCCCAGCACAGCAGCCCTGCTGCTGACGCACGGAGCTTGTGTCTGAGACCCAGGGACACAGCAGAGACTTGACGTCCACTGTTTCAGGACTCACATGGATCCAGAAACCTCAGCTAAGAAGACTCTTAAATAAAAGCGCACCCTGGGGGCGCCTGGGTGGCTCAGTGGGTTAAGCCGCTGCCTTCGGCTCGGGTCGTGGTCTCAGGGTCCTGGGATCGAGTCCCACATCGGGCTCTCTGCTCAGCAGGGAGCCTGCTTCCTCCTCTCTCTCTCTCTCTATCTGCCTCTCCGTCTACTTGTGTGATCTGTGTCTGTCAAATAAATAAATAAAATCTTTAAAAAAAATAATAAATAAATAAATAAATAAATAAAAATAAAAGCGCACCCTGACCGCGATTCCGGCAGAGCCGGGGAGCGGCTGCCCAAAAGCAGTCTCTGCAGGAGGCAGCGCCCTGAAGCCTGCCGCTTCTCTGTGCACACGCACGTCCCAGTGAGTGCGGCTGTGGGCGGGGGGCCGGCAGGGGGCAGGCGGGGTCAGGCGGGACTCAGCTAGACCAGCCCCATGGGGGTGCAGGGCACCGAGAGCTCAGGTGGGGTCCAGAGGACGTGTGACAGGTGCCTGGGTCAAGAGGGACGGGGGAGATGTCGCCAGCAGGAGGAGTCAGTTGAGCTGCAGGGTGTCAGAAAGAGGGGAGGAGGTCCAAGTACAGAGGCCCCTGGTGCCAGGGTCCCAGAGCTGCCCGGGGATGGGGGGGCGACAACGGCAAACCACCCAAGGTCACAGAGCCAGGCTGGCCTTGCAAAGGCTCAGATGGGCTAGGAGAGCACGGGCCGAGACCTGTATGTGGCGGGGACAAAGGAGGGGCCACACAGCAGTGGCTGGGAGAAGTCACTGCCCTGTATAGCACCACATCCGGGAGCACCCCAGGAAAAGACAGCGGGTGACAGAGAAGTGCTCAGACCACAGGGAGGCTGGGGCTGGGGCACCAAGCCTCCTGTCTGGTTTTTGCCTTTTTCTAGGCCAGCATGTGCAGAGCAGTCCACAAACCACGAACACCCATCCACCTGTCCCTCTGTTGCTTCCACACCCCCGTCCCACCACCCCTGCCGAGCAGTGGCATGCTGGGTGACCAGAGAGGAGATGGCTTACGACCCCCTCACGTGGGGCTCACTGGGCCTCTCGTATGGCCCTGTGGGTGAGCACCCTTCCACTGTGGGAGGGTGGCCAGTGCCACCTGCAGAGACAAGGGCATCCCTACTCTGGCCCACGTGGGGTGGCGAGGTAGGCCACTGGGCACTCAGGGCCCCTGGAAGGCCAGAGCACAACATCCCTGACCGGCGGGACTGGACCAGGTGTTGGGTGTTCTAATAAGACAGGCAGGGACTCGGTAAGACAGTGGAGCCTGCTGGATAACCCAACTATGGGCACGCAGGACAACGCCCCCGCACTCAGGGACACAGGAAGAACGTCAGGGCCTTCCTCAGATGCCAACCAAGAAAGTATGCCCAGGGGTGGGGCGCACACACAGACATGACCAGTGTCAACAACGTGTCAGTCTGAGTGCTGGTGCAGGTACGTGGGGGCCCACTGCACCTGTCGGAGGGTAAAGAGCCCTGGCGTCACAGACCCGCAGTGACAGGAGAGCAGGCCCCACCAGGAGAGGCTGCAAGCACACGGGGGCGTCACTCCCAGAGCCGCGAGCACCCGTACTCACAGCCCCCGACCTTCTTCCGCAGCTCGCCGTAGCAGATCAGACCGTACAGCTCCTGGGATGATTTCTTCAGCCCACGGGAAAACACTGAAAGAGGAAGACAAGATAGAGCTTTACCATGGGAAGACACCCACATGGACAGCAGCCAGCTCCCGGCACAGGACCAGCGTGAGGGACACGAACGCGGCTCATCTCACAGTTTCGGCCAATGTGCACTGGTCCCCCAGGACGTCAGCCCCGGGGGAAACGGAGTGAGACACACACAGGAACAAGGGGCTGCTTTTCAAATTTTTAAAATACGTTAGACCAAAGAAACCGGCGTGGGCTAGGAAACGAGACCTCACTGGCAGAGTGGTGTCCCCAGGAGGACAGACTGGGATGTCAGCATGGCCAGCTTCCACAGAGGCAGAGGAGGTGGGGTAGGACTGTCCGTTTCCGCACACAGAGAACACACCCAAGCTCCATCATGTGAGGCCTGCGGCCCCGGGACCGAGGACACGGACGTGTCGCGCCATCTCTGACCACTGACCAGGGCTCGGGGCCATACAGAAGAGGAACCACAGCCCCAACCACCCCCAGTGCCAACACCCACCCTCCCCGGCTCCTTTCCCACAGACTCGGTTCGCTTGGGAAGCAAGACATCCAGGTCAGATGGCACGCGTCCCAGCCTGTCCTGCGGCTAGACAGCGCCACACCACTACGTCCTGGCCTTGGGTGTGAGCGGGAGACATCCAGAGGCTCCGGGCATGACTGAAGACTGACTCAGGATGAACGCATCCTCGTGGCCCATCCCTCTGCCCTGCAGAGCTGCTGCCTGGCCGCCGTGGACACAAGCAACATGCTGGGACGGCAGAGCACAAAGAGGGCAGACCCTGTCCCCGCGCCCGCCCTACCGCCTCCCTGCGGTCTTGGACCAGAGAGAACAAATTCCACTGTGCTAAACACCGCGCTGCTTTGAGCTCCACGTTACCTGAGGCCAAACCTGAGGGCAACCCGCCAGCTCGGGCCAGCACAGTCTGGCGCCGTCCCCACCACCTCACCGAGCAGTGACCCAAGCAGCCCGTCCTCACTCAGCCCGTCCGCTGTCCTCACAACGGCTCTCTCTGGCTTCTCCTCAGAGAGTCCCTTCCAAACTCCCAACACTCGGTGTGTGATTAAATCCCCAGGAAAGGAAACCAAAAACGTGTCAGCGAGTGAAAATAAGATCATGAACGAATGATCTAAACAGAAGCTTCTAACCCTTGCACAGGCCGGCAGGAGCCTGGAACTCTGCTAACGTCATGCCAACCACTGCCGGAGGCTCTCCGGAGAGAGACCGAGGGGCCTCGTCGGGCCTCTCACGGGGGACCGCTGCTCCGGACGCCGAGACCGCCAGGCAGCGGACAGATAAGCGTGGAACGTACAGACAGTGGGACCTGTCTGCCACGCGAGGGAAGAATTCTAACAGCGGCCACAAAGTGGACAGGCCGAGAAAGCCCGGCACACAGGGAGAGGCCACACGCCGTGATACTGCCGCCGCGAAACATCCAGAACAGGCAAATCCGCAGAGACAGGAAGCGGATCCGGGCATAAGGAGGGAGGACAGCAGGGCAGTGACAAGCCGAGGCAACTGCCAGAGCCCCACAAAGGGGCAGGTAGCCCTCGGGCTTCATGTCGTCACCCGGCTGCCACCAACGTGGAGAGATCACCAGGACCAGCAAGAAACCTTGGTAGAGGGGTGCCTGGGTGGCTCAGTGGGTTAAGCCTCTGCCTTCAGCTCAGGTCATGCTCCCAGGGTGCTGGGATCGAGCCCCGCATCGGGATCCCCACTCAGGCAGAGCTGGCTTCTCCCTCCTGCTCTGCCCCTCCCCCTGCTTGTGCACACATCTCCAAAAAACAAATAAAATCTAAATAAATAAATAAATAAATAAATAAATACAAAACTTTGGTGGAACCGACAGCTCAACAGAAAGAAGGTTCTTCTCACGGGGTCATGTCTTGGGGTGCAGAAGTGTGGAGGCAGGGACAGAGAGTGAGCGGGAATCCTCAAGCAGCCCCGCTGAGCGGGGCGCCCGACATGGAGCTCGATCCCAGCACCCTGGGATCACAACCCGAGCCGAAGGCAGACGCTTCCCAGGCAGAGCCACCAGGAAGCAGACGGCTCAGGTAAAGGATGCCAGGGACACGGGCCACTGTGGAAGGCAGGGACGGGTTTTGTAAAGACCATGGACGTTATCAAGTCTTAGGACTCAACAGGCCTCGGAGCTGTGCTGGTATCTGGGAAGTGCGGAGAACCAAGGACACGCACAGCCAGCAGGTACGCGGACGGCTCGGTGACACTCTGCTTGAGAGCAAGACATGACTCCCAGGCCGGCACCCCCAGGCCAGCAGAGAATCTCCTATTCATGTTCACACAGACCCGAAACCCAATAAACAACACAGCATCTGCAAAAGACCGAGGGACGGTCCCCAACGCATGGAAGTCAACGGGCCATTCCCACAGGTCTCCAGGAAGAACGGCCGTCCACATCGACAGACACGCTGTCCCAAGGTGCTGGACCCACTGCTCCTTCCTGATCTACTTTCCCCATGGAGGTGCCAGGCTGGACTGGAGGCCCCGGGGCTGGGACGGACTCGGGGTGCTGAGCCCTCCTCCCAGTCGGCCCCCCTGATGTGTCGTAAACACTGAGACACGTGTCCCCTACGAGGACTGGAAGGACACTGCTTGAGGTGACCAGTGGAAGGTGGTCAAGCTGGAAAGGGACCTGGAAAGGACTTGTGAAAACGAGAGCATTGCGCTGGCCAGAGAGCAGCTTGGTGGGGCCGTAAACTTGGCAGAGGGAAGGCCCTGCCACGGGGTCCTGCCGTGGAGACGGACTGCCCCCGGATGGGGTGTGCTCAACTGCCAGGGACTCCTTCCCTGGCCGAGGACAGAGCCTGATGGGAAACACAGCAAAGCAGCAGCCAGCCAGGCCAGCAGGCCGGACCCTGATCCTCGCAGGGACCATCAGCACTCACAACGAGACGCAAGTGAGCTGATCTCTGCCAAACGATTTTCCTGAAGAAAGCGCTTCTGAAGAAAAGTGCTCTGCGAACAGAGATGTCCACAAATGCATTATCCGAAGCCACCAGAAGTGACCTGTCAGTCCGAGAGGAAAAGTGAAACGTGTTCACCTGCAATGACATCACTCAACAGAGAGCAGAGAGAAAGCCCACAGCGGCAAGAAAAGTGGCCTGAAAGCCGGCACTCGTGGGGCGGGGGCTGTGCTGAGCACATGCAGGGGGCACCTGGGAAGAGCGGGGGTTTCGGCTCCCCCACTGGCTGTCTTGGGGGGCCTGGACGAGGGTCTGCATGGCTGCACTTGGGTTTTCTCACCTACCCTGAGGGTGATGTCCTGAGCCACAGGCAGAGCCGGTCTCCACTCGGGCAGAGAAGGACGCAGGGAGGGATTTCAGGGACAATGTCACAGGCACTGGGCCTAGGAAGCTGAGCAGGATGAGGGGGACGGACCAGGCGGGGGTGGCAGCGTGGGCACCAGGATGGAGGACAGCCTGCTCCCACCAGCCCGCAGGTCAGCACGAGCGCCCAGGGGCACAGGCAGGGAGCAGCCCCGCAGAGACGTGAGGGGCAGGTTCAGAACGGTGGGACTGGGCCATGGCGGAACAGTGACAAACTGGACAGGACCAAGGGGACTAGGCCGTAAGAACAGACCCGAAAACCTCTGAGGTACAACCAGCAAGACTCTGACTGGTGACAGATGTCCACAAGGATTCGAGGGAACTACGTTCAGGTGACAAGGTCGGGTAACAACTGTGACTGTCTGGAGCTCGGGTGCCCCATCCCCACGGGCTCCCACACTGGCCGGTGGCAGCAGGGAAGGATTTCTCTAAGGCAGGGGTCCGCAAACTATGGCTCACAGGCCAAATGCAGCCCAGGGCCTCTTTTTGTGAAACAAGTGTTTGAACCAAGTAACACACACCTGCTTACCTTCTGTCTACAAAGAGTTTCCACAGACTGCAAACCCCAAAGTTTGGGAAAGCCCAAAATATTTACCATCTGAACTTTTACAGAAAGAGACTGCTGCAACTGTGCTCTCTGGGCCTTTCTCGGGCTGGAGGAGGAACCCCAGGTCGCAACATGCTGACCCAAGGGAGGGTCAGGGAGGGAAGTCGGATGGGTCGGCCCGGGGGGTGCTGGCAGGCGCACGGCCGAGATGTCCCCGACAGGCCCAGAGCGAGCGCACGGGAAACACGGGAGGTCAGCCATCAGGGGCTCACACCAAGGCCTCACGGCGGCAAAGACTCCAAGGGGAGTGACACCACGGTAGTTCTATGTCAGAACTCGGACTACTTTAACTGCATGGTCAGAAACGAGCCGAGTTAGTGAAAGCAAACGTCTGGAATGACCGGGAGAGGAGTGAGGCTGTGGACACCAAGAACAGAGCCAGGAAAGGTGGATCAACGAGGGAGCGGCAGACGTGACCAGTAGAGACGTAGAGACAGGAGGCGGCCACACCCACCCCTGGGGACGGGGGCTGATCATAAAGGCCGCTCGGAGGGCTGACCAGAACACGTGAACCTGACATGTGAACCGCACACGGCACGACTGGAGCCCGGCCTCAAACACAGACAAAAGCCCTGAGAAAGCCAGCCCTCCCCAGGCCCTCCCCACACCCCCTGGTCCCACCCTCACCACAGGGAGCTCCCCTTGGGCAAGAAGCACAGGCACCGGTGGTGGGGGGTTCGATTCTGGCTGGCCCGCACCCGTACCCTGCCTCTCCTGGTGGACCAGGGGCCTTGCCCTCCCAGCGTGGGACACGGGCCCAGGGTGAGCCAAGGACCTAAATGCCCAGGCACCCCGGGCCATCAGAAACCCACGCAGCTTCCTCTCTATGCAGCTTAATTGATGGTGCCTGGACGTACCAGCAGCCCAAGTGCCACGAGGCACGGAGGTCCCTGGCCACGTGGCTGGGTGAGAGCAGTGCCACAGGTATGTCTGACGGGCTTGTGGGCACCAGCTCCTGAGCAGCAGCCAGCCATGGCCGAGCACACTCACCATTATCAAAGTCAATGTACTTGGTGATCTTGTGCCACGTGCGGTAGTAGAAATGCCGGACCTGCTCTTTGTTCTTCACCATGCTCGCGGGCTTGCCTTTCTTCTTGTACTTGAGGGCAATGTTGTTCTGAATGGCTTCGAAGTCTTTCCCATGCTGGAAAATTAAGCCCACAGTAAAAGCACAGAGATTACAACAGGGCAGCCTTCTGCGCGCACAGACCCTTCCCGAGACAGGAGAAAGGGGAAAGGAGACCACAGAAAAGACCACTGTGGTCGAGCAGACCTCCTTCATGGATCTTCTCTGTGAACGTCAACCTCACCGCCCTAGAACCTCAGGTTTTAATTCGAACGACGGATAAAGCATCAGTGGAAACTCAGGGATAAAACTACCAGGGCACAGGAGACCACAGAGGCAAGGGCCCTGGAGCGGGAGAGCACGACGCTCATCCCTCAGACGGAGGGGCCCAGAGACCACGAGAAGACCACCCATGAAGACGATCACAGGAACACCCTGAACACAGACCCCTGCGAGGGGAGAGGAGGGCAGTGTGGTATGCCTCATCTAAACAACACATCAACCATCCAGAAACACCTTCACTGCTTCCATCGAATGCAACATATCCTGCATCCAAGTGGGCACAGTGAGTACGCGCACCTTGTAGGAGAACCACAGATCCCATGGGCCGCCCCTTCCTTCGACACCTCCACATCGGGGCTGAGACTTCTGTGATTCTCAGAGCGGAACCGGCGTCCCGGAGAACGCGGTCACCACTGGCGCCATGCGGGGGCTACAATACTCCATCTGAGCCAAGACAGAAGTCCTGGGGAGGGCCCGCAGGGGACAGCCGCCCAGCAGCACAAGCACCCCCAGCACCGCATCTTGGCTTCTAAATCCCATTCCCCAGAAGGAACCGGGACACCATGAGGAGATGGGAGCGAGACAAGTTCCAGCGAGCCTGCAGTCTGTTGTCGACCCAGAAAGTGTGCAAGTGCCTGGGCACGACAGGAGCCAACCTGGAGAGGCTCCCGGGGGCCAAACCTGCAAGAATATGGGCAGCAAAACCAAGAGGGATTGGAACCGATGGGGACAGAGTAGCCTACGTGTCCCCAAGTCCACACAGATTAAAAAAAAAAAAAAAATCACTGAATTCGTACCTAAATGAGGGAGAAGAGAGATCTCTTTCTTGCAGGAGATCTCCAGTACGTGTAGAAAGAAGGATGGAATCAGAAAATCATTGGGCAAACAATGTAATCATAGTTATTTCAGGTAAAAAATGGCATGATTGCTACAGTTAGTGGATAAAAAGATGAAAACCAGGGTATTTACATGGTCTAAAAGTAAAAACAAAACGAAAAATGAGTCCGTACGGGACCTGGCAGGTGGCACCTGAACGAAGTGCTCAAGGTTCACACCGCCAGACAGGACAGAGCACACCACGCGCTCCGGACAGAATGTGCCCAGGACAGCCTGACGCTCCCATGGTATTCTTGATAAAAATGCAAAATGTAAACTTAATCATGAGATAACCTCAGAGAAGCCCAAACTGAGGGGCATTCCACAACCTAACAGACCAGGAGTCTTCAAAACTGTCAAGGTCTTACACAAAATAGTGCTCCGCATCACCGGGCATCAGGGAAACACAACTCAAAACCACCATGAGACACCAACTCACACCCCTCAGAATGGCTAAGCAACAACTTAGGAAACGAGAGGTGTCGGCGAGGACGTGGAGAACGGGGACCCCCTACACTGCTGGTGGGAATACAAGCTAGTGCAGCGACTGTGGAAACCAGTGTTACAAAAAGAGCTACCCTGCAACCCAGCGATTGCAGTACTGGGTGTTTACCTCAAAGATACAAGTGCAGTGACCCGAGGGCGCACACCTGCACCCCAGTGCTTACAGGAGGAACGTCCACAAGAGCCAAACTACGGAAAGAGCCCAGATGTCCATGGACAGACAAATGCGTAAAGATGCGGTCAGAGTGGAAAATTACTCAGCCATCAAAAAGAATGAAATCTTGCCATTTGCAACACCATGGATGGACCCTGAGGGCATTATGCCAAGCGAAGTAAGTCCGTCAAAGGCAATCATGGTATGATTTCACTCACATGTGGAATTTAAGAAACAAAACAGATGAACACAAGGGAAAGAAAAAAGTAAGACAAAATCAGAGAGGGAGGTAAATCATAAGAGACTCTCAACACTAGGAAACAGACTGAGGGTTGCTGGAGGGAAGGGGATGGCGGTGGGGTAAGCTGGTGATGGACGTTAAGGAGGGCACGGGATGGAATGAGCAGTGGGTATCATATGCAAGTGATGACTCACTAACTTCTCCTGAAATGAGTAATACAGTATATGTTAACTAAATTGAATTTAAATATTTTTTTAAAAAGCGTCAGGGTCTTGACAGAAGAAAGGAGGCAGAGAGGGAGGGCCTGGCCCCCGATGGAGGGCTCAGGAGACATGACCACTGAATGCATGTGGGACCCTGATCTAGAAAGCACACCGGTGGGAACACCAACCAAACCTGAGTCAGGCCCACAGGTCAGTAAATGCTACAGTCACCACGTCCAATCGCCTCGCTGTGCTGGGCACACTGAGGTTGTGGGAACATTGCGAAAGGACACATGGAATTCTCTGTACGCTTTCCACAACTTTTTCCAAGTCTGAAATGGCTTGAAACTGAAAACTTAAATTATGAGAAACCTAAAAGAATTAAAGCTTCTTTACTGTTTAAAAAAAAAAATAAAATACATAAAGAATCCTTAAACGCTTTCCTGTGGGTGCGCCGTCCCCCATGACCCTCCCTCAGCTCTTGACCATGGCCGAGCAAGTGCAGACAGCCTGGCCATCCCTCAGCTCCCCGGTGCAGCAGGGCACCAAACCCAGACAGGGGCACACACTCGCCGGCCTGGGAGCCGAATCTGGGCTTGGTGATTCTCAAGCTATGCTGCCTTCCGACTTCTGACGCCTGTGAGCACAGGCTTCCTGTCGGCACCACCTCCAATGGTCCCGCTCCATTTCCCTGATCACCCTGCCGCTGAAGGGGGACTTCTCTGCACCCCAGCGCTCCTGTGGAGTTGTGTGAGCAGGTGAGCCTGTAGTGATTATCTAGCCGGCGGGAAGCAAGCACGGGATGCCGGACATGCGGCTGGAAGGCAGGAACTGGACAGAAGGACAATGAAACGTCGGTGACGGCTGTGTGAAGAGCCACTGACGGCAGAGTGAGAGGGTGTCACGGATGACGTCAGTGAAGGCGCTCGCTCTGCTGACCTCCCCGCCAGCCTTGGCCACAGGACAAGTCTGGGACACGCCGGCCCATCCGAGCCCTTCCCAGAACGGTCTCTGGCCTGCGCTCTGTGCCCAGGGAGCCAGACCCTCGCAGAGCCGCGCTCCCCCCAGGACGGGCCGTGGCAAAGCTGGCAGGCAGCATCCATGGCACAGGCCACTGCAGAGCTGACAGGGGCCATCAGCAGCACGGCGTGACGACGGGCCCGGGGCCTGTCATCACCTAATCCTACCCAGCAACTGTGAGGAGGCACAGGGTGGGGACCTGGCCTCCAAAAGCGGCCTCCGGGCAATCCTCTCAAACCCTCAGGGGAAGAGCGAGACACACGGGGACTCGTCTGAGGGACTCTGCACCTACAGGAACGAACCTCAAACATACAGTTCATGGTCTCCGTGGACCACGACCTCCTCCAACTGGGACAGCAGAAGCAACGCGGTGGCCCCTCGAAGGGAGAAGGGCCATGGTAGGACTACGGTGACGCCAGCGCCGAGTTCGAGCTCCTCGACCCTTCTAGCCTCTCGTGGACACTCAGAGCGTCCCTCCAAAGCCCCGCTCTGCTGTGAGCCCCGCTCCGGCGCTGCCAGTGCTGTGCTACGGAAGGACGACGGCTCGCCGGCCGAGTCACCTACTGCCGACGCTACTTCCCAGCGGAGCAGTCTAGGATACGGGACGTGCCCGGGACGTGCGGGGCAGCGCTGCTCACAACAGAAGCTGAAAGAGCCTCAGCAAGTAGCAGCATGAGGACGGCACAAGAGAGCAAGGACCGGCCAGGGGTGAGCCAGTCAGTAGGGGCCGTCAACGCCACCGTCCACAAAGTGGCCAGAAACTACACCCAGGTGAACGGGCATGGCTGTGCCCCAATAAAGTTTTATTTATAAAAACGAGCAGCAAGCTCGCAAGCCAAGTCTGTTCTCGCCTGAAGCAGACTATCCACGAGCACTCAGAAAAACACTGAGCAAAACGACCGTAACCCACCAGGGAAGTGCATCCGATGCTAATAAAAGGAACACGTCCTCACAGTTACGAATATTTGAAAAAGCAGACAGGGAAGTGGAAACAGCTCGCAGGGAGCACGTTGCTTCTTTGGGCAGTGGGATCGGGGAGCAGCTTCTCTCTATTTTTAGGACTTTCCACTCTGTCCCAGGCGCACTACAACAACTCTCAGGGTCAGGCTGCCGGCTCGGACTGATGTGGCAAGTGTCCCCTTGTCCCTCCCAGGCTGGGACCATGCCTCCCACGTCAGCCCTCTCAACTGCGAGCGGGAGGCCCAGAGATAGGGCTGCCCTCTCCAGTCCAGTACGTATCTGAGGGGCCCCTGGGTGGCTCGGTCGGTTGAGTGTCCCACCCATGGTTTTAGCCCAGGTCATGACCTCAGGGTCATGAGATCAAGTCCCACGTGGGGCTCTGTGCTAAGCAAGCAGTCTGCTTAAGATTCCCTCTCCCCGTCTCTCTGCCCCTCCCCCACTCACCTGCACGCATGCTAAGTAAATAAAATCTTCAAAAAAGACAAAAAGAATGTATCTGAGACCACGGGTAGACTCTTGGAGTAGAAAGAAATGAACCAAACAAAGGCACCTCCTGACAGCCTCTTCCCTAGTATCAACTCTTAAAGTCACAATGAGGGGATAATGGGCCAAGGTCAGAGGGTGGGTCCTGGGCCCTGGGGACCCACGCCTGCTGCCCACCAGGGGCTCCCACTGAACTGCTAACCTAGTCCATCTCGCAGCCATGCGGTCGGCAAGGCAGAGGCAGACTGAAAGAGAAACGTGCATAAAGCGGAAAGAGGAGGTTTGGGCCGCCTGTCCCGGCCCCAGAGCTCACCTCGTACAGCCCCTCGAAGAAAGTGTTCTTGTCCTCCGTGCTCCATGATTCCCACTGCCTCCGGGCCTTCTTGCCTTCTTCCTTCTCGCCGCTCGACGACCCCAGGTTCCGGGAAGAGGAGCGAGAGCCCCCCGCGGGAGCGGTGGGAGCAGCCCCAGACCCATTTCCAGATGATGATCCGCCACCGTCAGCTCCTTGGAGAGAAAGAACCGTACAGTGACCTGTTCCCAAAGTCCGCAGAGCTCGCGAAGGCCCCTGCACACGCCTCCACCGGGTGGCGCCACCATGGGACGGCAGTGGGACCTGCCAGGCGCTCCCTGGGGCTGTTTGGCCACGACCTCATCCTGACCTGACCTCGTGACTCTTTCCAATCTTTTCACAGTGAGAAGCAGTGAGAAAAAGAAAGAGCATTTCTGCAGACCCCTGAAAGAGCGTCACCACCACGTCCCCACCGGAGTCAGAGAGCCCCTCGCCCCAGTGACCTGGAAACACCCATCATACACCACAGCGTCCTCCTCAAATGTGTTTGGGGTGAAATAATTCTTGTCTTTTCAAACTGACATACTGAAACTCAAACTCAAGGAAACATCTGAGTGCACGTGAATAGCCCCTCGTCTTAGTACAACCAATACTTCAGAAACCTGAATCATCTGAGGCCTTTAGGAGAATCTTTACGGGGTCTTGGAACTCCTCGCTCCTAATGAATTTCCACCAACAAAAGCTAACATTCTGACAGTCGACTGACAATCTCACGGGTGCCCCGAAAGCATCGCTTCCTGCTATCCGGAGGAGCCCTTGGAGACCCCGCAGGGCAGGCGAGCAGTGGGAAGTAACCTGTGGCCGGCCACGGACAGCGCCCTAATCCTGGGAGAACAGAGGCAATCAATGAGGGGCAAAGGTCACAGACAAAATCCTTTTATGACCCCACCCAATCCTCCCACCCATCTGGTGCCTTCCTCCCGGGCAGGGAAGGCGTAGTGCCTCCCAGACCAGCTTCCATCCCACGGAACTTTAGGGCCATCCGTGGTGAGCAATCCTCAAACTCTGAACGCTCTGTGGGGGGCTAGTGCTAAAAGTAAGATTAAGATACAAGCGTTTAGAAAAGTAAAAGTGAAACAAATGCAGATCATTGTTAAAGGGCTTTCCTAGTGAGACATTCACGAGCTTTGGAGGGAGGCCCTCTTCCTGGGCAATCAGGGACCTCCCTACGGGGCTATGCTTCCCTCACCCCCTTCACGGGGGTTTGCCTCCAGAGCAGCGACGAAAGACAGGGAGTTCACAGAAAATCAGAGGAAGTGAAACGTTCTAAGTCCACTCACCTACATTCATTTGCCGGGATCATCCCTGGAAAAACAAGCCACGGGGAAGGGGTAGCCCGAGGGACAGGGCGAGGCAGGGTCAGGGTGCACTGATGCGTGTGTGGGACCTCCCCCAGGCTGTGCCAGGGCCTGTGTTAGATCAGTCGGCTACTGGAGCGCGGAACGTGTGGTCACACACGCAGAAGAGTCACGCCGCTGCGTAAAATGGGGGAGATTATCTCGTGGGGAGAAGTGCACCAGCTCGGCGGCTTCTCGGCGGCTTCAGAACGTACGTGACGGGCCCCAAATCGCCGTTCGTCTCCACTGCACTGTCAATTAAGCTGCGGCGACCCAAGATGGAAATGCTAATTAATGAAAACTAAACTCCCAGTTCCACGTTCACACCAGCCACATTTCTCGCGGTCCGTGCCCACGTGGGCAGCGCAGACCATTTCTGCCACTGCGGAAAGTGCGGTTAGAGCTCTGGGTGAGAGCCTGACGCTCGCAGTCCGAGGTGCCCCATTAGGGGAAGACGCCGTCAGGCTCAGGGTTTCGAGCCCAACCAGCCCGTGTGCCAGCTGCTCCCTCCCCTGCCCACGGGCACAACAGATCGTCCTCCGGAGGGGCAAACTGCAGCCCAGCGGGCTCGGGGGTACTCACTACACACCTGACTTGGTCCCTCCCTCACCAACCAAACTGCACCCAACACACGACCTAATCAGTGGGCCCGGGGGGGGGGGGGCGCCCACCTGTGCAGAAGCATCACAATGCAACCGTGAAGAGTGAAGGGGGAGACAGAAGCAGGCGAGGACAGAAGTGGGACGGCCAGAGGCAGAAAGAGAAGACCAGGATTGGGTGGGTATGGGGGTTCTCTCCCAGGGACAGGGGAGGGGGACAAGAGGCCCAGTGGAAAAAAGCAGAAGACCAAAGTCAACGCTGTCTGCAACTAGTTTCTGAGGCCACAAAGGCATGAACAAGGGTCCACGTGATGAGAAGTTGGCATCCGAGGAGCCTACAGGGAAACGGTGTACAGGAACAGGACCCCACTGGGGGGGGAATCTCTGAAGGCAGGGACAGGGTCTGACTGTGCAGAGCCCAAGCCCAGCCGCGGGCCTCACACGCAGAAGACGCTCCCCAGGAGCTCAGAAACCCACAGAGAGCGCAGAAGGGGCCCCTCGCCGGCCGCCGAGACCCAGTGCCTCTAACACAGAGCCCACTCTTCCCTGCCAACCTACCTCTGTGTCACGGTCTGCCAATGGCCCAGCGTCCACCCAGCTTCTCCTGTCCCCATTTCTGCGGCCATGTTCCCAGACCACTCCCGGACCAACCCTGAGTAAGAGCACTTTAGGAGCCTCCTCCCGGGTCTCCAAACCACCAACCCCGGCCCCAGCCTCCTCCCCAGAGCTTCCATCTGCGGGATGCAGACGTGTGGCTGTGCTCTGCCTCCCAAGGCCGCCGGGCTGCCCACTCCCCCTCCGGACAAGCTAGGCTGCCTGCCTCCTCCATGTCCCCCCTTCCCATCACACGTCTCCAAATGAGCCTGGGACCCTATCGCCCATGCCCCTCACACTATCTGCAGGGGAGGAAACAATCCCCTTCTTCCGGCTGCGGGGCTGAAGCCCGGGGAGCAGCTCGCCCGCACGCCATACTGCTGCTCAGACCCGGGACAGCAGCTCTACGGCACCTCAAAGGCGTGACAAATGCTTCGCTCCCCTGTCTTCTCAGCGCAGAGCTACAGTCCACGTTACAGAGCTGCCCAAGGTCACTGGGCAGCGAGAACCAAGTCCGGGCATCTTCCTCTCGGGCCACACGACGCCATGTGGCTGCCGCCCACGTCACGGATGCTTCTGTATCTTTATTACACACAGAGGTAAAGAACCCAGGGTTTTGAGGGGGGAGGGCACTGGACCTCGACACCCCTCCCTCTGCCTGCGACAGAGAAGGGCACTTCGAGGTTGTGACTTGCCCAAAGCCGCGCGGCTAACAGCAGCAAGGGTCAGGTCGCCGGGAGCATGTTCACCTCTAGAAACAAAACCATCTGACTTCGCTGAGGTCAGACACAGAAGACAGGATGACACTGTCCTATCAGGCAATGACTCCCTACCCCGGAGCTCACTTTCGGGGCCTGCGAGGCTCCTCTGGGGGGTCAGGAACGTTAACAGGGCACAGCAGACCGGCAGCATGAGGCGCTCACGGGCCGAGGGGAGAACACGGGAGCCTCCCTCGCTTCCTGCGCGCTGCGCCTTCTCAGCAGGAAAGATGCTTCCCGTGAGCTAAGGGAAGTCCGCCTGGGGCACACCTGCCTCCGGCCCTGCGCAGGAACGCGTCCTCGTGGCCTGGGTCCAAGGTACGAGAGGGCAGGGACCTCTCACAAAGCCTGAGGACGGCACACCTGTGCCGCGGACCTGTCCACCTCAGGCCACCATATGCCAGTGTTGAGACGGAGGAAAAATGCCCAGGTCTCCCGGGGGCCGCTCCTGCGCCCCTCGGGACACACGTCACCCACATCAGGCACCGCAACTGTCAAGCGGACTTTCGGAGCCCGGCCGTGACCAAAGGGGCACCCTCTCCACCAAGGCCATTCCCAGGCAGCGTGTCACCTCGGCAGGCGGATCCAGATGCCTCCTGGGGGCCGGCGTCCGTCATCGCGCTCACTGCCGTCCGCCGGGCCTCTGCCAGCTTCCCCACTCCACGCGGCCGGCGCTCCCCAGGGCGGCCTCCCACCCACTCGTCCCTCAACTGGTCTCTGCAGAGCCCGTGAGGCCGCTGTGGCCGAGCCGCAGGAGAGGGGTCCCCGCCTCTGAGGCAGCCGGGTCCGGGAGCTGAAGCTGAGCTGGGACCTCACAGCCCATAGCGTGTGCGGCCCCCACACAACACCACGCCCCGGCGTCCTCCCCACTTCTGGGGCTGGGCTCCCTCACAGGCGTACCGCTTCTCGCCAGACTGCCCGAGAAAAGCGTAACTAAAACCCCCTCGCGTCCATGAAAACACGTGCCTTTGCCGTCAAACAAGGTGAAGACTTTGTCAGTAACTGCTGACTCCCCGCAGGCACCACACCTGCGGGCCTCGTCGTCCTCTGGCGCGGCTCTCGTCAGTCGTCCTAGCACGCGCCGCGCTCCGCTGCCTACGACAGAGCTGGTCCTCACACCCGGGACTCTGCTCTCAGAAACGCTCCTCTGTCATCTTTACATCATCGTAGGAAATGAAACGAGATAGGTCGCACGGCATAAAATGAAAATCCTACAATATCCTTGCACGGCAAAGGACAATTCCACAAGCCAACGCCGCAGAAATCTTCGTCCTGACATTAAAAGCCAGCGAGGTACTGGAGAAGCAGCTGAGCCTTCAGTACTGAAAGGTCACCTCACCTGTCCGCCCGTCCGCGCCCACGTCTCCGATGTGAAGCCAGCGTAAGCCGTACAACTCTAGGAACGACTCGGAATCTGGTAATTTACAAGAGCCCCCGGGCGGCAGGGTTTTCCCTCTCCAGCCCGCACGGCTCCGCCAGGGCCCGTCTCAGAAGTGGTCAGGGACACAGGTCTCCTGCCCTACCGTGCACAGGGTGTCTGGGGCACACAACAGGGCATGTCGGGGTCTTCTACCTTATGGTGCAGCAAACAGGGTGTGTGGGGGGAGGGGCGTGGGGTCCTGCCTTCCTCCTCCTCTTCTCCCAAGAAGCTGAGGGCTTTTGGCAGAGCCCCATGCCCTGGCCCAGGTGGCCCCAGCGACCCCCACACCGTCATCACTGCACCCGATTTCATTAAACATCACTTACTGACTCACACCGGGCACAGGAATCAGAGCGCTAGGGCCTCAGTGGTCTGTGACAGTCTGACTGTCCCCCTCCCTCTCCGGAGAGTATGAAGGGCAGGGAGCTCGAGCGTGCATGGCCATACCTCAGCCGGCCTCCTGGGGCCTGGCCCAAATGCTGCGCAGCGACAACATGAGTGACCGCAGAGCCTACGACTGGCAAACTGTGCCTGCATGCCACACGGGCACGGCCCTGGGCGAAGGGGGCACATTCTGATCAGTCCCGGCCCGGGGCTCCCCCGGAGGCAAGGGCTAGGGAGAGCCCACAAACACAGAGCTACCGTGTTTTCAGGCAACCCTCTAGAATGCTCTCTTGAGCCACACAGGATCCGAGTCCTGTCGGCACAGCTGACCCCTCACCCCTCAACGTTAAGGTCAGGATAGCTTTAGGCACTATCCCACCCAAACATTTTGGAAGTAAGGAACCTACGATCTGGGCATGTCAAGGGACTTTCCCTTTGCCCTACAGCTGAGCCAGCCACAAAGCAGCTCTCCCCCATACGGTACTCGTCTCCCGAAGGCTGACCACACTGGGCTGACTGAGCTCATCCAATGTCTTCTAAAAACACCTGGAAGCTACAAGCAGCCCACAGTTTATGTAAAATATAAGTTCTGTACGGTGATGTACTGATTCCTAAGCACAAGCACAGTGAGACCCGGCGACACTGCCCCACTGTGGAAAGGGCACATTTCACGACCGGCTGGCCCGAAGGCAGGGGGAGTGATGGTTCTTGGGCACACGTGGGGTGGGGTAGGGGACTGAAGGGCATCAGAGAAACCGAGAGTCTACCTTACGCTTACAATTGTCCCCACAGGGCAGATAACAGCTTAGGAGCAGTCCTGGGACCTCTTTCTCTACCTCCCAACAGGTGACCCAGTCTACCCGTGCTGACGCTGTAGTTCCCTAACCTCAGAACTATCCACGTTTTCCACAACAGAAGCACAGGGAGCCTTTTAGCCACTTACAGCATGGCTTGGCTGTGGTATCTACTGGGGAGCCAGACACTGGCATTATCCCCAATTACAGACAAAGAATTCGAGGCTCCAAGAGAGATCAGTTTGCCCACAATCACCCAGATCACAAACTGGCCAGAGGGGGAAGGGCCTCGGGGCTCTGAGCCCTGGACCAGGTTCTTACAGATACGTGAATTCTGGATCTCAGTCTTACACGCACCGTCGGGTCACTGGGCGCACGGTGGGGCGCGAGAACACGCACGCGGCATCAGGCAGATCTACCGGCTCCCGGCTTGCAGCTCACCCTCTGTTTAGGTCGGGCACGTTACTGAAACAACAAACCTCGGTTTCTGCACCCATTTAAAATGGAAGAAAAAGGGCTGTAACACGTGCAGCACAGAGTTGCGAAATCTTAGCGCCCTGCCCCGTAAAATTCCAACAGAACCTAATTCGGAATCGTACTACAGAAAAATTATTATTTGTTGACGTTGACAAGACTACCTTCTCCGAGAGAAAGAAAACCCAGTGGTGTGCTCGGAGGCACAAGGCAGACTTCCTTTTCTCCGTAAGACTTTTCCTCCAGAGTCCCTGCGAGGTTCTCACGCCCGTCTGCTCCGACTCAAACAGGCAAGAGCGGTCAGTGGTCAACAAAGAACCACCAACGACAGGGCTGGGAGCACTCCTCGAGCGTAATGGAAACTCCCTGCTTTCAAGTGAAAAACTAACAAATGCCAGGACTGTCCGTTTCCTCACTGACCCGCTCTCAGCACCCAGGGTGGAGATTTTCAGGCTGGAAAGACACACGCTCCTCTAAGACCTGCTTGCAGAGGTCCCCAGGCGTGCTCTCAGAGCTGGACCTTTGTGGGCTGTTAATGGAGGCGATCGGTGAGCACGGGGTACAGAGGCATGAGCGGGGTGTCCTGGGCACGGTGACGGGTGCAGGCAAGATCAGGCCCCGGAAGGAAACTCCGGCTTCTGAGAAGCCCAGCAGACACGCTTCTTACTCCTAAAAACCACCATTACGGTTTAACCTCCTTGTTTACGTAAAGAAACAGTCACTTGCTGAAACAGGAAAATACGTAAAAGTCACAAGAAGCACCAATTCTAACAAATATCCATTTTCCTAACGGAAAGTCGACTGCTGCTCCACGCCACACACTGGGACAAGAACCAAGAAGAGAAAGGCCGATGGCTGATGTGAAGCTAATCCACGAGCCCTTCTGTCTGAGCCGCGCTGATCTACGCAAATAAAAGCACGCGTCCCCTCATCACCTGACCTCTGAGAGCAACTGGACCCCAAGGCCGTTCACAGGTGACAGAGCCCTTTGACGCCACCACCTTGTTTCGTCTGACCAGTCACTGCTGTTGGCTCACAGGTGAGTACGCTTCTCCTTCCGGCAGATCCAACAAGTCAAAGGAGTAGACGCAGGTCAGAAGGCCAAGGTGGCAAGGCCGTGGCTGCTGCTAGGGCTTCTGAAGCCACAAACAAACCCTTGAGGGCATCCCAGGAGCTTCCTGGTGATAACTCAGACAAACCTGTAACTAGGAGGGAAAAACTATTTTTTACAAAACAAAGCTGGTAAAACAAACCAATGCTTTCCTAATTGATCAGCAACTTTCACGACATAAACGCGTAGGACACGAGGTTTAATTTCTGGAACATACTAAAATTACCCTACACTCACAACTTTAAGCATGCTTACATCGGAATCTTTATACCAAAAATCTGGTGAGGCCCGCAGGATTGCCGAGGCCAGCCCTCCTCAGGTGAGGAGCAGACAGAAGAGAGCATTAATTGTACATATTGGGCAAAGGTCTCCAAAACGGTTCTCACTCCATCAGTTTCTGAAATCTTTCTTTTTCAGATTATCAGGGCTTCTAATAAATGTAAATCACCATTTCCCAAAGAACCAAGTAAAAGCGTCTTTCCTGCAAAACTCCCTGGAACGCTGTTGCATCTGCCGTCTACAAAAGCGGGCAGCCTTAGACTTGGCCTCCACAGAAAGGACGGGAAGAGGAGCTCACTTGTACAGTCAGGAAGGCGGCCTCCTAAACGGATGAGAGCAGCGGCGACAGTGGCACGTGGTTTTCTTCTTATCCGGGTGGGGACCCCAGTAAAGCTGTACTCCCTCCCTCTCCGGGAGCAGGAGGGCAAACCCCCAGCATGCTCCCTGCCCCTATCAGGCCACAAGTGCTCCTGTGGCCTCCTGCCCCAGGGGACACCGTTTCTGTGGCACCCAGACGAGGGAAGCCTTAGTGGACTCAAGGTGCTGCCTGTGGATGTCTTCAGGGCTCCTGAGCCTGGGTCTACCTGAGGTAGAGGGCGACCGGCCGCTGCCAGACCCTGCGACCGACCGTGTCTGGCTTCAGTCCGAACGGGGTTGGAGAGCCCACTCCTTTGTTGTGTGTGGGCCAGCTGACGTCCGGGAAAGAGACAGAGCAGGTTCCCTTCCCCAAAGCATTGTGTGCGGTTTAAAATAGCGTCAATCAGGGACGATCCTTCCCGAGAAAATGAAACCCGCCCTTCAGGAACCCATTGTACTTGCCCGGAGAAGGGTCCTCACATAGTTCCGACACAGACTCCGGGGCAGAGCGCGGGCGCGTCCCCCTGCACGGTGCCCCCCAGCCGCGGGCGCCAGGGCGCGGGGCAGGGCGCAGGCGGGGACCCCGGCCCCCCACCCCCCCACCGCCCCCCGCGGGCGCCGGGGATCCCCCTCACCTTTGCCGCGCGGCCCCGAGCCGCCAGCGCCGCCGCTCCCCCCGGCGCACGACGAGTCCTTCCTGAGCCTCTTGCTCTGCGGCCTCACGCTGGACCGGAGGAAGTGGTGCTGGTCCTGCGGGCAGGCGGGCGGCGGGGACGGGGCCTGCGGGCCGCCCGCGGGCGCCGGGGGGCCGTCGCCGCCGTCCCGGGGGGTCCTGGCGTCCCTCTTTGTGCCACCGCTCTCGTCGGCCGCGTCCCCGCCGCCGGGCCCCTCGCCCTCCAGCGAGTCGTCGTCGGCCGCCCGCTTGCCCAGCCGCTTGAGCCCGTCCTCCCCGCCGCCGCCGTCTCCCAACTTCACTGTCATCCTGGCGGGGCAGGGGGGGAGACCCCGGTGAGGCGCGCGCCCGGCAGCCTGCCCGAGAAGTTTAGCGCACCGATGCCCTCTCAACATGGCCGCCGTTGTTTGTTCCCGATCCCCTCCCGGCCGCCCGCCCGCCGCCGCCCGCCCGCCGCCGCCACCGCCCGGCCCCGGCCCCGCCGCCCCCGGCGCCGACCCCAGGAAACGGCGGCCCGGCGGCGCGGAGGCGGCGGGCCGGGCGGCCCCCGGGGGCCGCGCCCGGACAGCCCTGCCCGCGCGCGGCGCCCCGGCCGGCGGGGTCGTGGCGGTGGGGGTGGGGGTAGGGTGGGGGGTGGAGGGGCCGGGGTCGGCGGGGAGGAGGAGGGGGGGCCCCCCGGGGGTGGTCCCGGGGTTGTGGGGGAGAGCTCGGGGCCGGGCCCGGAGCCACCTACCCGGCGGGGCCGCTGCTCATGGCCTGCGCGCCGGGCCTCTCCCCGCGCCGCCCGGGCCTCGGCGCCCGCGCCCCCGACCCCACCCCTCCCCGCCCCCAAAACGCGCGGGGCTCCGGGCCCGCGCACCTGCCCCGCACGCGGGTCCCCAAAGTTGGCCCCGGAGCGGGGGCGAGGGGCCCGGATCCACCCTGCCAGGGGAGAGGCGCGGGCTCGCCTGCGTGCACAGGGGACTCCATGGTGGCCCGCGGCTGCCGGTCCGCCTGCTTATTTTAAAAGACACTTACAGAGTAATAAGCTCGCGGTTTCTGGGAATCTGGCTTCCCAGGGTGGGAGGTGTGTGCTGCTGCGGAGATTCACACATTAAAAATGCCTCCGCAACAAAGAGCCCGTGGCGTGGGACAGGTGGGAGCCACCCGTGGAGGCGACCCCACAGATAGGTCCAGATCCAAATGCAAGAATGGGCAGAAGACGGCAGTGCAAAAACTTGATAACCATTAATAAAATTCTTGCATTCACTCTGTCACTCACTGCCGCGTGAAATGTCAACAACGACACTCGGTGACTATAAAAATGCATCCCAGAATGCAGACCCACTCAAAAATTATCTCGGAATCAGGCAGCATCTACACTATGAGCCCCAAAAGGGTCAGTAATGTGTACCTGTGATAAAGCAAGAAAGACAAATATTAAGATTCCTCAACAGGTGCCCAAACTCTGTGCGGTCCTCAACACAACAGCTCAGAATGGAAACATTTCCATTCAAAAGGGAAAAGTGAGCAGGACAGCACCGCTGACAAGTGAATACAGAAATAGGGGCAAGAACTGACAAATGAGTAAAAATCAGAGTAACACCTACTACCGCTCTGATGATTGTGTCACAAAATGACCAGTAAGTTTTCTTTTGTTGGAACCGGTCTTACAAATCATTTGAATGATCTAGCTAATGCTAGTAAAAACAAAAGACAGCAACAAAAACCCAGACCAAAAAAAGAAAAAGAAAAAAACCTAGACAAGAAAAAGAGCCAAACTTTTTAGAGGACTTCACTGTGTAGGGTTTCTCGCTGCTCCTTTCTCAACCTTTCCATTCCTACTTAACAACCCTGGAAATACCTCAAAGGGCCTTTTCCCGGGTTATAATGGGGAGAACCCTACTCCCAGGGTCCTATTATCCCCAAACTGCCCGCCCTCAAGCCAGGCCCGGGCCGAGCACAAGCCACAGCGGGACACAGCTGCCCGGCTGCCCGGGCGGAACACTGGAGGACGCTAAACTGAACACGGGAGGACCAGAGCATACGGACGGGTTGGGAGCTTTCCCCTGCAGGAAAAGGAAGCCACGGGGATGGAGTCCCTCGACCGAAAACCTCCAACGCTACTTCCTGACCGCGCACAGAGGTGGACTCAGCTCCAGCAAAACCCGGCCCGGCCCCGTCTGTCAGGTTTCGGGAAGGAAAAAGCAAATCCCTCCGTGCCTCGGGCCGACTTGTGGCTGCACACACACAGTGCTGTCACCGCGACACCGGTCGGTCCGGGCGCCTCCGGGCCACCCCGACATAGCACCGCGTGCGCAGCCACCGCCGCCAGGGCGCAGGCCGCGTCCCCGCTCCCGCAGCCCCGCTCCGGCTGGGAGCCGGGCCTCGCCGTGACAGCCGGTCGGGGCTGCCCACCCCTCCCGAGCCCCAGCCCCCGGTCACCTCCTTCATCCACGCCTCGCAGCGGCCTCGCTTCGCGGGCTCCCCGGGGGCCTCCCGGGCGCCCGCAGAACCGGCCGGGCCGGGCAGCCCCGGCCCCCGAGCGCCCGCTGCACAGAAGCCGCGACGCCGGTGTGGTCCTTCCGCCTCGGAAGCAGTTGCCCAGAGGCGCTCGCCCCGGCACGTCCCCTCCGCGCCCGGCAAGCGGCGGACGAGGATGCGGGCGCCGGTGCTGCCGCCTCTCAGTTCCCGGAGGCCGGGCTCACCGCGCTCAGCAGCAGTTCCGGCTACGGCGGCCCGGCGGAGACGGCGGGGACGGCGCGCGGGGCGGGGCGGGGAGGACGGTGCGCGGGGCGGGGCGGGGCGGGGCGACGCGCGCGGGGACGAGCTCGTCCGAGGTTTCCAGAGGGCGCGTCTCTCCTAGGGGCGCTGCCATTGGCCAGCAACGGGCGCGCGCGCTTGCACGTACGGACGCTGGGCGGGGGCCCGGGGCGGGCCTGCGACGCCGGTAGTGTTGTGACGCCGGCCTCGCGGCCGTGCGAGCCAGTGCGTCTCTCCGGATTGGTGGATGGACAGCCAATGGGGTCAGCGCCCGGGCTGTGATTGGCCGGGGCCGTGTTGACGGATGCGTGAGAAGAAAACGCTGCCTCAGCTCAGAGTCTAGAATTCGGCGCGAACCGAGTTTTTATAACGACAAAGTGAGAAAGTGCAACTGAGTCAGATAAACGCGTCCTTCATTAGATTGAGAGTTTGCTTTTGAAGTTCCTTGGCGTAGTGGATGGCGCTGGGCACTCGGGTCTTATTTCTCCGTCATGACGAAACAGGAGTGTGTTCTCAGTTCTAGGGTGTACTATGGAGGCGAAGGATCAGAGAGATGGTGTCCCAGCAGCGTCCAGACCTGCAAGGAGCATTGTCACAGGGATCTAACACATGCAGGGGAGAATAAGAGAGATGGTGTCCCAGCAGCGTCCGGGCCTGCAAGGAGCAGTGTCACAGGGATCTAACACATGCAGGGGAGAATAAGAGAGATGGTGTCCCAGCAGCCCAGACCTGCAAGGAGCAGTGTCATAGGGACCGAACACATGCAGGGGAGAATAAGAGAGATGGTGTCCCAGCAGCGTCCGGGCCTGGGAGGAGCACTCAGGAGCCATTAAGATCTAATGTATGTAGGGAAGGATACGAGAGATGGTGTCCCAGCAGCATTCAGGCCTGGAAAGATCACTCAGAAGCTATAGAGATCTAATGTATGTAGGGGAGGATGAGAAAGATGATGTCCCAGCAGCACCCAGGCCTGGGAGGAGCACTCGGGAGCCATAAAGATCTAATGTATGTAGGCGAGGATAAGAGAGATGATGTAATGTATGTAGGGGAGGATAAGAGAGATTGTGTCCCAGGGTCCAGGCCTGGGAGGAGCACTCAGGAGCCATAGAGACCCGTGCACAGCGAACGATCACAGACAATGATCCCATACTGTAGTTATGTGATAGGACTGACATGACCACAAGGGCCATAGTACGACATGGGCATATCAAAGTACTTCGCAGCACACCTTAAACTTACACGAAGCTGTAAATGTCAAATTCTTTCAGTAAGAAAATTCTAGTGTCCGCCAAAATGAAGTTTTAAAAAACGGGATCTACCCTGTACCTGTGGGATCCAGCAGCTAAACTGTCGGGTCCAGTAGTATCTGCACTTTCCTCTTTTATGTTTTCACTTTTTGACTATGTGGACCTTTTCGCCATAGCAACTTTTTTTTTTTTTCCCTTTAATGACAAGACATCGCTTTGTCGCCCAAAGCGAATCTCGAAGCGGAAGCACGCCTGACCGAAAAGGCCAGGGGGCACGTTGCTGGAGCCTTCGGGGAGGCTGGCGTCCGAGGGGATGACGCCGGGCGCGCCCGTGCCTGCCGCCTTCTTGCCGAAGGAACGCACACGTCCCCCGCAGAGCGCGGCAGCTCAAGTGTGACGTCGAACCCGGTGGCTTTGCTCCGAAATCCTCTCGAACCACCCCCCACCTCCCGGCGATGAGAGAAGCAGGGCCCCGCCGACGGCCTGCGGCCCGAGAGCACCGGCAAGAAGTCGCGAATCCGCACGGCGGCGGCGCTCCCCCACATTCTCTCGGTTGGGCGACGCGGCTAGAAAGGTGACCCGCAGGAACGTCGCCGGCTTCCTTCTCCGCGCACAACGGGTCAATCCTGACCTCCGACCTCCCCTTTCCGAGCCGGCCTCGTGGAGTCTAGACAGCGGCGGCGACCGGGAGAGCGTGCCCGGGAGGACCGCGGGGCTCCCCGCCCACCGGGACCCGCCAGGAGACCGCGGCCCTCGGCGCCTCACGAGCGCTCCCGACCGTCTTCGGCTCTTTCCGGCCGCTCGGGGCGCCTCGGGAGGCCTCGGCGTCCGCCGCGCTCCCTTCGGCTGTTTCCGCGGGCCGCGCGCAGCCGTTGTCCGGGCAACGCGCGACGGCGCGACGGCTCGGCCGGGGTGAGTGGCGTCCGCGGGCTCGGGCGGCCAGAGGCGGGGGAGGGCCCCGGAGCGGCCTAGGGCGCGGGAGCGGGCGGGACCCCCGGCCGGCGGCCTCCCGGGTCATCCTCGTCCGGAAGCCGGGCCTCGGCCGAGCGGGTCGGGGCCGGGGCGCGGCGTCCGAGGTCAGCGCGGGAGGATGGCCTCCGCGGGCGCCCTCCGGTTCCCGGGAGCGGAGGGGATGAGACGGGGGGCGGCGGCCCTCGCGTCCCCGTCCTGCGGCCGTGACCCTGCTCCGCCGGGGACTGGGACCGACGTGGGTGTCTGGCGGGGTGGCCGAGAGTGCCCGCGCCCCTCCTCTCAGCCCCCCTGCACCCCTCAGCGCCCCCCCCCTCAGCCACCCCTCAACTTCCCTCTTCTCAGCCCTCCTCAGCGCCCCTCCTCTCAGCCCCCACTGCACCCCTCCTCTTAGCTGCGCCCTCCCGCACCCCTCCTCTCAGCCCTGCGCCCCTCACGTGCAGCCCGAGTGTCTGCTGAGAGCCCCTCAGCTGAGCCCCCCGGGACTGAAGACAGGGCTCGGCGGGAGGGGACTGGAGAAAATCGCTTCGAACAAACGGAATTTTTGTCTCTTCCCCGAAGTGTATACATTGGCCACCTACTTTGTCTTGTCGTGGAGACGGAGAGCCGGTGCGAAGGAGAGCAGGAGCGCCCGTTTCTGAGCCGAGGCCTCGCCCGTGGTCAGGTAAGCTGGGCCCTGCCGGTGCTCTCTCTGCCGGCTCTGGAAGCTTCCGTGAGCGGTGTCCGCAAGTGGGCTCCCCCGCCGGCAGCTCGCCCCGCAGACCAGCAAGAGCATCCGTCCTTGCTGACAAACACCGTCCCCGCGGTCACCGGGGGCCTGTTCCCGGGTTGGGGTCACTGCTGGGGGCAGCACGCTGTGGGGCAGGGGCAGCTGCGGGTGGGGGACAGTCACCCCGCCACGCGCTTGGGGTGAAGTCCAAGTGCCCCGGCGAAGTCAGGGCCCTGCGGGCTGCCGGGGAGAAGCTGAGCCGTGACGTCAGACGGAGGCTGGGGAGAGAAGCTGCGAGAAAACCCCAGGCGGGGGAAAAGCCCCTCCAGATCTGTTGGCGTCCGCGCTCTTTACGAAATGAGAAACGAGCATCAGAAACAAAATCAGCCAAACCCGGCCTGACTTCCTTACGGACGAGGACTTCCTTCCCCGTGGGTCTGACACACGGATGCTCCTGATTTGTCCGAGGAGCATCTTCCCGAGGCGAACTTGTAAAATCCGAACGCGGGTTTCCCACAGCCCGGAAGGTCAGCCCTGCGGCGCAGCCCACGAAAACGCAACTCGCGGGCCTTCCTCTGCTGTTTATAAACACCCGGGGTTTACGTGGGGTTTTTGCCGCTGTAACGGCTTTATGAAAGCTCGTGTGCGTGCTGCGCTCTGGAGTCAGGGCGCTGACCAGCGTAGGTGTCCGCTCCGCGGTGTGCACGTGCGTGTGTGTGCGTGGGAGGCCTCCGGATCCTGCCGCTGGCCCCGCTGACTCCAGTGCTCGCCGCCCCTTCAGCCCCCACCGGCCGCCTCTCCAGTAGCTTCCAGGATGTGCTCTTCACTCTGTGCCGGAACGAACATCACCTCAAAAGCCGTGCCCTGGGACCCACCGTTCCCACCTGTCTCTGCACCCGACTATTCCAGATCCTTCCTACAGGGGAAACACGCCGTATGCGTTCCTCTGTCATTGCGCAGCATGTCTTCCCCGTTCCTCCGTGCCGCGACGCGGGGCACTTCCAGGCCCGTAGCTCCGCGTCTCCTGAGCGAGTGCCGCGTGGTGTTGGCTCATTCAGCTGTCGGTGCGCGTTCAGGCTCTTTCCGCCTTTTGGCTGCTGTGAGTAGCGTCGATCCGAGCCCGGGTGTGCAAGGCTCCGCTCACGCCGCCGCTTTCAGCCTTCCGGGGTTGGACCCGGAACTGGAATTGCCGAATCACAGGGTGATTTTATGTTTCAGTTTTAAGGAACCACCACACTGCTTTGCGCAGCATCCGTGCCAGTTTACACGCCCACCGGCGGTGCACAAGCGGTCAGTGTGTCCACGCCTTTGCCAGCGGCTCTTTTCTCTTCCTGACCACAGCCATCCTGACGGGCCTGGTGTTGAGGACTGTGCAAGCAAAGCAGACCCGTTACAAACACTCTGCTCTATCGGTCAGCGTCCCTGCGCTGACTGTGGGGTGTGAAGCGGGCGGTGGTGACCACCTGTCATTCGCCTAGGCGCCACCCCTAGGCCTCCCCTCCCGCCAAGGGGCGATAAGCGCATCTTTTCCGGGAGAGGGAGATGTTAAGTTCCAGAAACTAATCAAGTCTGGCCTCCCCACACCTGCCAGGGCTTTGCTTTCTTGATTCTCCGATGAGGGAATCCTGATGCCTCCTACAACCTGAGAGCCGGACGTGGAAGACGGCCTCAGTGTTCACACTTTCTCATAAACGAAATACTGGCTTTTCCCGTCTGCTTTTGTGAAGCAGAGTTTTGCTTCTATTTGGATGGAAATTTTTGCCTGAAGGACAGCTATAGAAATATGAGTTGTTTTCGTTACGATGAATACGGGCAGTCGGGATTTACACGTGGGGTCTGGGCGGCTGGACTTCCTCTTACGGTTTTGGCGGCAGCATTTTCTTTTCTGTTACACCCTGAATCTTTCCAGGTCCAGTCTCTTGCTTCTAATTGTGTGTTTGTCCCCTGTTAGCTCTTCCACGTCAAGCTGCCCCTGTGGTCTTAGGGCTGTTTGTAAGTCGCACGGTGTCACGATGGATGGTTTGTGGTGCTTCTTTCCT